TATACCTTAGGGAGTATATCTTTTATAGTAGATTTTGGGAATGCTTGAATTTTGAGTGAAAAGGAAAGTCAAGATTTCTACTACTTTACCCCCGTTCAGTGCTTTCTCTCTTTTACTAAGGAATTAACATCATAGGAGGGCTGTTTTTGCCCAAAGGTTCGGCCTTTGTGGGAACGGTTAGGGGAAAACCGGAAAAGCAAGAAAATAATTTTTCATTCATGAATTGACATCTTCAAGAAGCATTGACTCTCAGTGAGTAAAAGACAAACATCTGGAAAGATGTATTTAAGCATAAAATGGTTTTCGAATCCAAATAACATTAATTTAGAGAAATTTTTGTGGATGCAATGCAATATATAATATTGAGATAAAAGTATAAAAGTAAGTAAAAGAGGGCGATGTAGAGTGATTTCACTGTTCGACTATTCGATACACTATTCGACTATGTTAGAGAAAGGTCTCAAACATAGTACTGTCGGCTCTGTGTTTAGATTTGCTAAATTTACTAAAGCACACGATATCTATCTACCAAGATAGAGATATTCTACTTCCGACGAGCTTTCTAAGAAACACTTACACGCATTTAGTTTACATGTTGAGAAAAATCATAAAAATTCCATGCAGTTGATCTATTTCGTCGCTGAAAATAGAAGCCAAGAAGAATCGATAGTGTTCTCTGGCTTCAGGCACCTAGATTTCTCACTTTGAATTTGGAACTAGAAATATAATTACAAATGTCTCTACTAGGGGAGATCAAAATTCATTATTTTTTCACACATGTAAAATCTGGTTAAATACGTTTTCTCGTTTATAAATTACAGAAGATTTTTCAATAATTCCTGATATTTTAAAGGAAACTTTTGATGTATTTGTTTCCTGTAACAGGTCTAAATAATCATTCATTACAAGCCACACTAATTTTAACGATCTGAAAATTAACAAATGAGTTGAACTCTTTCATAATTATAATAAAAAACTTAATTTGGGTTTAAGATTACCTCAGAAGTGATTTTTTTTTTTATTTCTTAATTTAGAGATGCCTTACAATCCAACAGTTATTTCCCCTATTAAAATACGGCCATATTAGTGGCCGGTAAATACTGGTAGTTCGATTAGATTTACACCCTGACGAACGAATACGATGGCTGAATGGTATTTTCCCATGTTTTTTTCCTATGTATAACATGAATATGAGACTTTTCTCGTTAAAAAGTCCTCTACGAAGGCATCTCTTTCCTTAAAAGCAGATAGTCCTCGTGTGTTTTGCTGTATTCAAGTAATCCTAACCTTCAAACTACGGCACCTGTCACACTAAATCAAGATAAAAGGTTTCTAAACAAGATTTTTAATCGGTCTGCGGGCCCCAGTGGCCAAGCGCTAAAACCGCTGAGTACTGGTAATCCTACATAAGTTCAAATCCTGGTGAACACGCTTGTTCGGTGAAAGTTTTCTACGTTCAATGTGAAGGAAATCTAGTTTTCCTTAGAAAGTCCTCCCTGATAGTTTCCGTCCTCTTGCGCAGATGCCAATTCCATTAAATTTTCTGCATTAAACACAATTGTAATTCTTTCTTTTTTTAAAGAAATCTCAGGGGAAATAATTGTAAACATCAGATTCAGTGCGATTATGAATTATTATTTTAAAGTAGTTAACATTTTGAGTGGGAAAAGCATTTTTAATACGCTCATAAACAAACCCCTCCTCTAAATTGGCATCAAACTGTGTCGATTTCTACAACAATCTATATAAATACGTTTCCAAAAAATTCTGCTAAAATATTAAAAGTTGTATTTGTAGAGCATTTATTAGTTAGATTTGTGACTACCTACTCAACTTTTGGTTTTCATAACCTATAAGGTATTTTCTCTCCCGCCTTCTTAGCATACCTTCGTGGTGTAATGGTCAGCACGCACGGCGTGTATTCGAGAGGTTGGTGGTTCGAGTCCCGGCGAAGGCATTGCTCCTATTTCACATGTCCTGCTTCGAAATAACCTAATGTTTCTATAGTGGCACCCAAACCAAAAAAGGTGGTGGATGATGATTCTCCGCCGCAAGGATTTGGCGATTCGGTCCCCTAATCCCCAGTCGCCCTTTAAAAGGGGGAGTATATACGGTATTTTCTCCCGCCCTTTTAGCATGCCTTCGTGGTCTCAGTACGCTCGGCGCGCATTCGAGAAGTCCGTGGTTCGCGTCCCGGGTAAGGCATTGCTCATTTTTCATGTCTCTTGCTGTTAAAAAAAATGTAATGTCTCTACAAACCTTCCATTCATCAGAATAGTAATAAAGTCATGATGAAGCATAGGGGGTAGGGGGGAAAAGGAATTTTAAAGAAAAGATTATTTTTACAAAATGACTCAAAATTTCTTGAGACAGTATAAGTAGTTATATAACTCAAATAATTAAATATTTGACCTCTTAATTTTACCAGTATTTCTGTATAGAAATAAAACATAATTAAATATCTTTAATGAGTATCATAGATAGTGGAGCACATCGAGTGAGCTTCACAATATTTTCAAAAGCAGCCACTTTGACAAATGAACAGAACTGTCGGGAATCGCTTATGAATGTCACTTACACGTTTCATAATGCCAAGAATGTTATAAAAATAACGGTTATGCTATATCAACAACTTACCGATCTTTCCAAAGTGCTTAAAAATAGAGCTGTTCCAAAAATTGTATTCAGTTCATTCACGGTGTTTAATCAAAAGCTCGTCGTCGATTTTTGAACTACTTATCGATAAGCTATTGAATTCAAATTTTGTACACACACCGTTTACGGATGATAATAATTCGATTTAGAGTTTTTAAAATTTAATGTCGAAGAAATTTTTTGCGCATATTTCCATTTAAGAATAAACTAAAAATCTCAAAATTTTTAAGTTTGCATCATTTTACAGAGCGTAAAATAGCTTTTGAAATAAAATTTGCATGAAATTCGTAACCTAATTTCTGATTTTGGGGCGAATTTTGTTTTAAATTTATATATCTTTTCGATTATTTGAGGTAAAAGGATACTTGGAAGTAAAAGACTGAACCAATAGTAATAATAATAATAATAATTTATCGCATAGATTAATGGTAATAAGAGATTACTTAATAGCTTCTTTGCTAAATTCCTGTACAGTTTTATAAGAAGAATCATAGGTTCTTAAATTACGAAATCAAATAATTGAATCGCATTGTCAGATGTATAATATTTATAAATTTATCAAGACAGCCTCACGTTTTTATTATTCGTGATATAAATTTGTAGATAGAATTTTTAAAGAGAATTATTTAATCTCGTATTCCCATTAAATTACACGATACATTATTTTTAAAACAAAGGGCGTTAGCCGAGAAGGTCTATTAACTTCATTTTTTCATTTTGCGTTGAAAACTATGTCAGTTCACTTTTCAAACTGTTGCTACCACATATTACAGCCCTGTATTATATTTAAAGAAATTAAATAATGGTTTTGGTTTATTAGATTACGGCAAAGCACTCGAGGCTATCTGCCTTGAAATTAAATAATGAATAATCTGCATAAATATATGTATGTTTCTCGCATTGTGATAAAACAACGGTACCTAGACCCATCCAATTTTGAATAACGTACATTTCCACCCGAATATGGGCATCTCGAAGCCGAGATTTGGAATTTGTTTTATTATATGTTTCATATTTCGTAAAACTTCAATGAATTTTTAATTAAGAAACTCAACGATTTTAAAGCGAGCAAAGGCAACACTGTATGAAAATAATAATATAAAAAATTATCTTCAACGGGCGAGACTGTGTATCGGAAATTCTAAAGATATGCTCATTTAAAATTTATTTTGCGGTATTGCTGTTTTAACTGAAGTTTTATGGTTTAAGTGCGAAGAACATGATATTTAATAAATAAAGGTAACCCACAAACCGTTAAAAAAACGCCCCTTTGGACGTAATGTAAAATCTGAAAGATTTGCATTTTCAGATTTTTATGTTTGCATTTATTACTTTTATTTTTCTCGTTTTAATTCATTAATGCTCTTATAGGTAAACGTTCATTTTGTAAAAAATTCTATTTTTTATTCAATAACTGCTCTAAAATGGAAATTCTTAAATCCCTTTATATATGCATCCACTTTGTAACTGGTAATAAATTTGTTTCTTTAGAGTCAGTGTAAGGCCTTTATCCCAAAACATCAAGAAGATTTCTCCCACGCTAATGACAGCCATTACCCATTGTCGTCAGAATTGCATGGACCCTTGTCCCCTTAGGCATTGGGGGTTGGAAGACATACAAAAATACGGGCTAGTCCTTTTTAGCGTGTTTTTTCGATAATACAAAAACACGGGACTGTCCATTTTCGAGGATACATTTAAACTAACAATAATCCGTAACGAACCGTTAAGAGACCTGCATAAAAGAACGAGAAAATTCGGGCCAAACCGTTAATGGGTTAAGTTCAGTGTGATAATAAGACTTTTTGCCACAGCAAAACATCTGATTAAAGCAAGCAATCATGCATCAGTACAAGATGGCTCCAACTGAGGTACCTAAGAATCCACAGCCAGATATTCCATCAAACATTCCACAAGTGAAATACTTAATGCTTAGATAATCAATAAGTTATATCTTACTAATATTTTAAAGATATATATATATATATATATATATATATATATATATTTTTAAATGAGAGAAGAACATAAAATGTATTAAGAAGTCTGCAGCAACTTTTATCTGCATTTTAAGATCTTATACTTTTAAACTACAATACTTAGATTGCTCTAAAATAAAATTTTATGAGCACTCTAAAATTCTGTTCTATACTGAGAAAGACTTACAAGAACACAAATTCCACATTTTAATTCTTGTTACTTCAAAACTGATTTTCTGAATACATTTTAAACTGAAAATTTTTTTAAACTCAAGAAATATTTAATCTTAGTATTTAATCTTTTTAAATCTAATCTTTTTAATCACTAATATTTAATCTTTTTAAAATAAACAAGTTAGGACTCACCAAGCAGTTCATCATCATCAAGCTCTAATTCTCCAACATCAGCAGTCAAAACATCAAGGTTGCATCCAACAGCAATAGCATCATGCTCCTCCTGTTGTGTTTCAAGATCTTTCACAAGATCACCGGCAGTAGTTTTCCTCTTCTTTCCAGATTCAGAACACACAACATCATCCTTTGGATCACGTTCAGCAGGTAAGGGAACATCTTCCACATCTTGTTCCATCTTCTTTTCATTTTCAAGCAATGTATATTCTTTCTGTACATTATCCTGTGGTAGAGGATCTTGAATTTCTGTCTCACTGCATGTCATCTGCGATGTCAGTGAGGCAGAAAATGATTGGTTAGTGTTTGGAGTGTTAGTTTGGATACTAGACGAAGTATCACAAATGACATCACTCAGTTTTAAACTGCTAGAAGAATCAGACACTTCTTGAGATGAATGTTCATTAACTGATAGCTTTCCTGAAATGAAAATTAATACTGTGTAATAGTCAGCTAATGTATTAAAAAATTTAGGAATCCATTATTGCTTCAACAGAAATTCCAAAAAATGTGTTGAAATATTTGAGCAATTTAATTAAAAACATATGAAACAAATACATACATTGTGCCCAGAAAAGTTCTTAAGTGGCCTTTATTTTCACAACATTTGGTCATTCCAGTGGAAATGACAGAAATATTGATGTTCCAGCACTTCAAAAAATTATGCGATCTAACTATTTATATACTCCCCCAGTATATGTAGTTATATTTAGGAAAATGTTTTACTCATTACAAAAAATACAATACAAAACATTTTGACTCCCTCATGGCAAAGTTGACTAAAAGATTTAAATTTCAAATTTTGAGATTTTTGTTGGCATTTTCAACTTACTTTGAAAGTTTGGTTAATGAATAAATTAATATAATTTGATGTTTATTTTTTCTATTAAATGCCCTTCAATGATATTTATTTTTAACCTAGTTACAACTGATATGCCAAGGAAATTTATGAGTTTGCAAAGGCTACAAATATGCTACTAATATTCTTATGAAGCTTTATAATTTTATAATCATAATCTAATAATCATACAAAAAACTTCATTTAACTTGAAATATTAAAAAAATATGTGCAAATAATAATATGACTTAGCTATGTATTACAGAAGCCTAACAGCAGCAGTGGCATCTTAGGGCAAAGGATGCATGCAGTGCATACCTATAAAGTTAAAATAGCAAAGAAAAGAAATTATTTATTATTTGTTAATGCAATTATATTATAAAACCCTTATTAATTACTTTAAATACACAGCTTTGCAATGAAGCATCAATTTTATTTAGAATTAGAAGCTTAAAACAAAATGAACTGTGTGCTGTTGTGTTTTCTCTAATGTGACTTCTGCAGGCTGTGTGAGTATCATCATCATTTAGGAAATAGTGAACTTTACAAGGACAAAGGAAAAAAATCTTTCCCCTTTTTTTCCTCCTACAAAATGAAAGCATATTTGAATTTTTCCTAAATGCATGTGGTACTTTTATCGCATTCTGATGGAGGAAATGAATATCCATTGTTTAGCATTGAATTTGATGTAATTATTACATTTTAGGTATCATTATTATGCAAAAACGAGTATTAAAGTACACAGTACTCTGTAATGTATTTAATTTAAAGATGACTTCCCCCCCCCAGTTCTTGGCTTCTTTTAAAGTTTGATATGATAATGCAGCAGTCTCAAACTGGTGGCCCATGAGTTGTGTAAGTCTCTGAAATGCAGCCTATCAATGCACTTCCTTTTAATTATCATTATTATGACAAGAATTGTCATAATAATGTCTGTCATGAAGACCTGTATTCAAAGACACTTTATTAGCTAAATTTGTATATTTACTTACTTTAGGCTCTATTTTCATAAACTTACATTTATTAAGATGATATTTATATTATTAAAGAAAGTAAGAAAGCAAAATATCATAAATTATAAGCTAATATATAACAAATGATAAAAAAATCTCATGACCGGAATGCTCAGAGGATTAAAGAAACAGATTTTAATGGTTTGTAGTACAATTTTACATTATTTCCAGTACCAAAATGAATGTAACTCTCCAGGAAATCTAGAAATGGAGTTAATTAACTGCCACTGAGATATAAATCTTAGACAAGATTTAAAGATCCAAATTAATTTTATCAGTACTCGTTGAAAGATAAATATTCTCAGTTAGGAATTTTTGAAATAAAAATAATTGCTTTGTTTCAGACTACATTTACATTTGAATATATTTTTGTTGTTGAAAATTAATAAATCTATGAAAAGAAACATACTGCCGATGCGTATTTACAATTTGTGATGAAGCTACTTTTTAGTAATTTTCCTTCAAAATTATAAATTTTACAAAAACTGAAATCCATGAGGGTTTGTAGCTGACAGGTATAGTAAGAAACAATGAGATTTATAATTATTTAGATACAAATATTATTTTTTCTGTATGCATAGAAAAATCTAATAAATAAAAGAAACAAAATATATTTTATTATTTATTCTCATGTTTTTCTCTCTTTGGAAGTTTCTGTATATTTCTTTTTAGTTTAAGTTAAAATTAAGTTATTCAGTTATAACTTCAAAATATTAGTTATTTGAATAAATGTCAATCTGAAAATCTTAGTATTTTGCTGTCAATGAGTCTAAATTACAAATTGACACCAAGAGAAATTTCTTCCAGATATCAACTTTTAGATATCAAGCAAAAAAGTAAGTATATATTAGAACTTTTCGGCATTATTTTTATATGTACACTGCACCAAAAAAAGGGGGGATAGTCCCATATCTCCTGTTCTACTAAACCGATTGACAAAATGCAAATTGCGTTTTTCATGGCTCGAAAGCGTGATTTAGGATATATATTAGACTAATTTATAGAACTGTTTTAACATAGGTATTTTGTCACAAAATGGGACTTTTTCTGAAGTAACATACCGATTTCCCCCCCCCCCAAATTTCAATTCTACGACTCATTATGGATAGATATTAAATTTTGTACAATCGGTGCCAAATTTAAGGAGAACTGCAAAATTTTATCCTGGCGCAATTTTTTCAGTTTTCACCATGAATAATTAATTCACTTGGCAAACTTCTTAATACAGTACAAAGTCTTTAATCCAGACTCTTAGGGACTCTGGCGATTCCGGATTATAGATCATCAATTTAAATCTGGTAAGATGGCATGCAGAAATTATAAAATTAAAAATATGAAACCATAATTTTTGAAATAAAGAGCAATTATGATCTAAAGGGTATCAAAAATTAAAAATAAAAAAAAATCCACTTAATATGTATTTGTTTACTTCATTAAATATTTCTTTCAATTCGCGCATACGTAAAGCATACATCACGCATAGAAGAAATTATAAAATTGGAACCAGACAACTAATTAATGTGTATTCGTGATATTTATAATGACGAGGAATTTGATTTAAATCATATCATAGACGGAGTACATAGAGAAGAAATACTACATTTAGTAAGGAATTATAAGCCGAATAAAATAAAAACATCTTCCCTGAAGAAGAGGATAGTGTTTACAAATCAACTACCAGTGCATAGCCATCGTGACACCCCCCCCCCCACACACACACACAAAAGCAGCTTGAAATTGATAAACAGATTTCGGAATGGTAAGAGAAACAAAGAACATGCCCTTATCCATTTTTTGCAGCAATTCCACTTTTTGTTGATGGACATCGAAACATGATTTCGCTTTGTAGATCCTTCGGCAGTTCCAGAACCGGAAACTCTTTTTGACATAATCGAAAGTTCAAGCTTACTTTTTATAAAATTGCTCTAACAGTCTGCTAAAAATAATAATGCGGATCCAATTAGAAGATTAAGGATCAACGCAATCTGCAACATTAACTGAAATAGATAATTAGATAATTTTAGCCTAGCTTATACCATCCGTTATACATTAAAAGTGCTTGCGTAAATGTATTATGTGCATGCGTAAAGGTATTATGCGCATGCGCAGAAAGTATGTAGCTTTGAGGTCCGGATTATAGATCATTCTGTATTATGGACGTCCGGATTAAAGACTTTGTACTGTATATGGCAACCAATTTTCCTTTCACTTCCATCATGCCGGAGCTGAAAAAAAGGTACTTCGCTCCTACCTTTTTACACTGTGCATGAACAGAAAAAAGTTACATCGTTTCTACTTCCAAATAATTTTGGCAAAGTGAGTAAACCCCACTTGATGTTTTATCACTTTCAACAAATAAGCTAAATCTCAAAACCCGCCGATATATAAATTCACATATATCTTCGGAAATATTCAATAAAAAACTGTAACTTTTTGAAGGTATGCTTAGAAATATGTCTACTTTAAGATGACGATAAAAATTTTACAGATTATAATTTAAAATTTTTTTGAAAATTAGTAATTATTTAAAAATACAAATTTTTAAAAGAAATCATAAAAAATGGATGAATTTTATTTGGAATGAACTCGAATTTTGAAATGTGAAAGGAAGAATCAAATAAGTTTAATAAAAAGAGAGAGATTAATAAATATATACAAAACTCAATTAACATTGAGGAGCTAAAATTTTGAGAGCTAATTTTTTTAAAAACTGCTCGTGCGATTTTTACAAAACTTGGTAGTTTCGCGTAATTCAAGTCGTAGAATTGAAATATTGAAAAAATTTGGTATGTTTTTTCAGAAAAAGTCCGATTTTGTGTCAAAACACTTATATCAGAACAATGCTATATATAAGTCTAATATATATCCTAAGTCGCACTTTCGAGACATGAAAAACACAAGTTAAATTTTATCAATCGGCCGGTAGAACGGGAGATATAGAACTGTCCCCCCTGCACTGCACCAAAAATTGCAGTGTACATTTTGAAAAATGTATAGTAATTTTTTTTTTAATTTAGTTCACAAATTTTGTTAAAAATCTCCTTTTATGGGAAGGGCTAGTCTAATACTTTGACTGTGCATTTCGCCTGCATGAGTTTGAGATCAACCATTGTGATAATATATTAATCCTCTAAGTGCCACGACTGGATCCACTCATGACACTCAGAGAACCAGATCTAGTCATGAGATTTTTCGTCACTTGTTGTGTATATATATATATATATATTAGCTTGTAATTTACGATATTTTGCTTTCCTTAATAATATAAATATCATCTTAATAAATGTAAGCTTATGAAAATAGAGACTAAAATAAGTTATTATATAAAATAAATATATGCAAAGTAACTAATAAGGGCTCTTTAAATACAGGTCTTCATGACAGATCCAAAAACGAGGGCTGCTCGAAGGGTTAAACCTGAACCCTTTTCCTCTTTTATTTATTTATTTATTTTGGGAGGGGAAGCATGATTGAAAATGAAACAGATGGCTTAAGTTAGATTTTGATCAACCTCTAAAAAATAAAAATTACTTTAAAATGATAAAACGTAAAGAGAATGTGCTTATAAAGGTCAAAACACGAGGCAAACTTAAACTGTAGATAATAAATTAAATGAAATATGTAAACTTAATAAATACATAATAAATATGTCAACTGTACATAATATATAATGCTGTATGTAAATTTATACCATGTATAAATACCACCAATATTCAAAACAGGATCAGTGAAATTTATAAGACTGAGTACCTGACTTTGCTAATATCAGGTTTAGGTGTATCACTGTCCAAATTTTATTAATGATTAACATAAAACTTTATTAATAATTAATATAACTCATTTGCAGAATACACTTGGAAATATAGTATAGTGCGATCTGCATAAATGAAGCAAAACTGAATTATGTTGCAAACTTTACCTGAAAAATTTCCATTTCAGACAGTAAATCTCAGAAATTTTAAAATTTATTTTATGCATATAATTATTTTTCATATTATAAAATGTTTAACACATATTAATATGCAAATACTGTATTGCACTTTCAAATACATGTGATTCTAATTTTCATTTAATATAATTTTTTAAATATTTAGTGTTCAGTAGCATGTCCTTTATGGAAATTCAGGATACGCCCTTGCCTACTAGTGTTTCCTAGATGATGAATTCTGCAAAAATCAGGGAATAATATTTCATTTTTGAAAAAAAATTCTACTGACAAATATTTTTCACAAAACTATCTGCATAAAAATGTTAGTCACTTAATCTCTTAACATAAAAAACCTTCTGATAAACTGCTATTTCATTCTTAGTTACATTTAAATTTAAACATTCCACTCTGGTTTGAGTATAACATCTGAATAGAACCTCACACTCTACAATAAAATACCTTGGTAACTTTTATCATGTGGATATGAAACTTTTATATACATATTATAATAGTAATAATCTTACTAAGTATAGCTCTGGGAACCTACGCACCATATAAAAAGTCAAAATTTTGTAATTCTCCAGAAATTGATTTTTTCTTAAATTTAAAAATGCCAAAACATGAATATTTACATCATTTAAAACATTTTTGTAATTGGAAGTATATTATGAATGGCTGTGAAAATACAGGACACAAAGACTTTTGCAGACACTATGTATAACTAATACATGTTCTTCAACTGAAGAATCCTCAACCTGGAAATCTGACACATAGAAATTCTTTTAGCACTGGAGCTGCTATAGATCTTAAAACTCACTTTTTGTCAACACAACTTTTGTGCCCAAATGCCCAAAACAATTTAAGTGCTCAGTTGTAACAAAGAGCAGTAAAATAAAATATGAATAAGAAACCAACATTTCTACATAAGAACCAAAGAATTATGTAAAGGAAAAAAACTCTCATTCCCAATGCAACAACTTTGTTATTTTTGACAAAATTGATGAACATTATTCATTTTATTTAGTTAGTTTCTTATGTTCTGAGGTTGTAACCTAAAGCATGTATTATCCCAATGATCTGTTGTGTCAATAAAGGATTAATGTAGCTAAATTGTGTTCAATTATTCTTACAGAAGCTCAAAAGATTCAAAAACTAGGTAGGAACTATTTTCTTCTTTTATATGATTTGCATTTGTTGTGTTTTACTACTGTCAACGCTTCGAGATTAACAACTTGTCATTTTGTAAGCCACATATCTCTTAATTCCATGACATAAAACAAAGCCTCAGACAGTGTGCTGTTTGTTTCTATCCTCCGCAAAAAAAAAAAAAAAAAAAAAAAAAAAAAAACTCTAATGGGTGGGGAAAAAAATTTCAAACAAATGTGATTTTAGCACAGAGAATGTGAAGTAGAATTCTACCTTGAACCTTGTTAACATAAACTTAGTATCTAGTATAATTTGTGTAAACACTGCATATTTTTCACTGACACTTTTGTATATTTTATAAAATATATAGGAATGCAATCATAATTTAATTGATATTTATCTGCAGAACTTTATCTTTACAACATTACACCTAAAAATGATTTTTCTGAAAATCACTTTTTAAATTTAAATCTACATTTAAAAAAAAAAAGAAGAAGAAGAAGAAAATACAAAAATATGCTACATATTTTTTAACTCTCTAATAAATGTAGATTCGAAATATGTAAAAAACATAAATTCAGTTTTGATTTAAAAACTGAACAATTAGAGGATTAAGGGAATCAGTCGTCACATTCATTAATTCATTCAGGGAATCAGTTGTCACACCCCAGACACTTATAGATCCTTCTTGAAACTTCTCGTACTAATTGTGCATATTACCATCATTCGTATTTTTTCAGTGTGAAATATATTTAAATTTAGTTAAAATATAACCCTCATATAAAATCCTACATGACTGCTATTTTATATCCTTCAGTAAAAAAGCAATTCACTAAAAACTCTTAAGAAATCCCTAAGAAAGCAAATCTTACATACTTATTGTCGTGACCAGGGCTGTGGAGTCGGAATCAGAGTTAGGCAGATTTTTGGGTAAAAGGAGCCAGAGTTGGAGTCGCTAAAAACAAGTCGACTCTGACTCCAGTTTATGTTGGACAGTTTGAATATTAAATGAAGTTAAAGTGAACTGAAAAAAGATTTAATGACAAACTGATTATTTTTATTTATGAACTATATACATTAATAAATAGTTATTTTCTATTTTATTGACATATTAATACATAAATATAAGGGAGGAAAATGAATGTGATATTTGCCATTATTGAAGCAACTGCTTCATTTAGTTACAATTTAGGTAAGCAGCAAGAAATCCCAAAATTGATGCCATTCTTAGGAAGTGAGCAGGAAAAGGAGCAATTATCGATCAAGGAATGTGATGGGGAAGTACATATTTGATGATACAGAGGTTGTTAGAATTAAGAACTTTTTTAGAAGATGTAGATAACCCTAATGTTTCACTAACAGAAAGACTGTGGAATGTTCTTGCAGAATTGAAAACACTTCTTTCTACACTGAATATAGCCACAAAAAAGCTATAATCTGAAGAATTAACAGGAGGTGAGAATGGAAGAATGTGATGTTTGTTCTTTCTGAAATGGAGGATTTATTGCAGAAGGAATCATTTCTTCAATGAAGAAAAGCGAAACTAGTTTGCTAGACAGTGAGATCGTGCTAGGTTCAATATATGTAGATCCAAAACACCGAATTTTGTTGGATGATGAACAAATCAAAAGGACAATGAAAGCCAACTATGAACTTTCATTAAGAATGAGGTTATTCTCAAAACAAATGGAGTATTCAAATCAGGATAGTCAAACTGCAGACATTGCAACTGAGTCTCTATCATCCTCTTCCAGTGATGAATTAGATTTTGAGAAATATTTGGATAATATTGAAAAAGCTTAGGCAAACCGAATGAAAATAAAGAAAAAAGAGCCTTTAGATATAAAAATTTTAAAAATGCAAACAAAATTTCTATATGGCATCTGAAGAAATACAGAAATATGATTGCTCTTGCAAGACACCTCTTTTAGAACTTACAAAAATCTAGCCTGAAAAGTTAAAAGAAATAGACCTAACAGCAACAGCTCTTCCTCCTATTCAAGTCAGTGTGGAAAGCCTCTTCGCAGCTCTGAAGTTTATCTGCTTATACCTATGGTCCCTTATCTAAGAAGATCTTGCCGAAGCTATAGTGTATCTTTGAAATTACTAATGCCAGTTTTTCCATTTCATAATAAATGCTAATTAATATAAATAATTTGCTATGCCATCAATTTTTTGCTGTAGCATCTATTACTTCTTTTATACAGTACAAAGTCCGTAATCCGGACTCATCAGGACTTTGAATTCCGGATTAAGGGTTTTTTCTGATTATAGATCATCAATTCAAATCTGGTAGCATGGCATGCAGAAATTATACAATTAAAAATATGAACCTGTAATTTATGAAATAAAGAGTAGTTATGATCTAAAGCGTATCAAAATTTACAAAAAAAAGAGCTTAATATTTATTTGTTTACTTTAGTAAACATTTCTTTCAATGTAAGTTGTTTAAGTTGCTTCGTTTTCTGTGCTAAACGCGCATGCGTAAAGCATACAAAAAAAAGTTTGAGGTCTGGATTATAGATCATTCCGGATAATGTACGTCCAGATTACAGACTTTGTACTGTATTAAAAAAAAGCTGCAACCCACACGTATATGTTTACATATATATGAGGGAGTTAAGGTCTTTAAAATTCCAGGAATCGGTCATTTTCCCACCGACTACACAGCCCTGGTCGTGACTAAATCAACTACTTTTGTTACAGCTAGTGTCAGAGCAAAAACACTACATGACAAGATGCATGATGCATCAAGCATGACATGATGAACACTGCAAATGAGGTATCTGCCTCTGAGGCAAAAATGTTTTTCCCTACATGTTACTTCAATCACGATAAGTTAATTTATATGGATAAAATGTTTCAAAAATTAAATGTACTTACTTTCTTCAACAACTGGTTCACCTGACTTTTTGTTTTGCAGCAAATCCCTTAACTGTTGATGGGAATCAATTTTATTTGGATAAGAAATGGTAACTCGACTTCCTTGCAAGAAGTGCTCAAAATTCTGTTGATCAAATGGCTTTTCCTGCACTAAAACTGCATCTCTTTCTGGAGGATAAGATTCTTTGTAATGGTGGGATAACTGCTTAACAATATTAGCAGAGGATAATTCTGGGCTTTGCTGTAGAACAAACTGCTCAACAGATTGTGGCAACTGAGTTTTTGGACTGTCTGATAGTGAAGATTGAAGATTAGAAATGGTTGTTCCAGACACAGCAGCTTTAGAAGGAGAATAATTTGCACAGCCTTGAGAATCTGCTGTATTTCCAGAAGTTTGCTGAATTTCGAATGTAGTCTCAGCTTTAATTAATTTAGCACGAGCTGGTGTAGGCTGTGAGTGTGTGTCCAGTGATGCTAGCAGTTGCGACTGGGGAGAAACAGTCATTTGAAAAAAAGAATCAGAACTGTGTGGTCTTGGAGTCGGTGGAGGCGTATTTAACGTCTCTTTTGGGGTAGTTGGTGTCGCAACCCTTACTATTTCAGTTCTGTTCAGCAACACAGTACCTCTTGAATTTGCCTGAGGAGGAAATGTCTGCTTCTGAGGTATTCCACGTGATGCCTGTGCTAATGGAGATGATGACTGAAAAGTATCGGAACTCGCTTTCACAATCATGGATGGAGACACACTTACATCGGGAATCGACAATTGAGGTTCTAAAGGTGGTCTTACTCTTGCTACAGAAATAAGAGAGTTTGAAATTCTTTCCTGAACAAAAGACTGCTGAGGCAATGGCTGAACTTCAAGCTTAACTTTACTTCCCTATTATAAAATAAAAAATATGATAAAATTAAAAGCTAATCAATTCCTATTTTGAAAATTATACAAAGTTTCTAAACTTAGTTAAGTTTTTTTTCCGTTCACAAAATATATATTAAAAAAAATACTACATTGTACCAATTAAACTTTTCATTAATCTTCAGTTGGTAGTATAAGTTGGTAATTTTTTGCAAAATATGCATTTGGTGATAAATAAAATGCAGTGATCTCTCATAAATTACAATGCTCTTTACAAGGTTAATTTATACCTTATTCGAGATTTCTCTACAATTGCTAGTAATCATCAATGTCTTAGTGTTAATTTATGACACAATAAACATCATCCTATTAACAGTTTATTTTAAATATATGATTTTTATGTTCGTATTTTGATTTCAGAAGATTCATTTTGAAACCAGTAAGTTTATCAAAACTATTTAATTCAAAACAATTTCAATGATTAATTAGAATTTGAATACAAAGAATAAATTACATATTCTTATATTTTTATCTTTTTAAAATCGCTTAAATTTTCTGAAAAAATTAATGGTAAAATTTTCTTTGAGGTATGACCAGAGCCTGCTTCATTATACAGCTTTATGATAAAGGTGCTTGCATCTTTATGCAACATGTTCATTGTTCACTAAGATAAAAAACCCTCATACATTAAACTGCAAGCAACGTTAAATTTGCTATTAATAACCATGCCAAATGAAAACTCTGTTTGCATAATGATACCTACATATTTATGAAAGTTTTTTATGCATAAAGTTTTTGGCTCATTAATAATAAATCATTATAATGAAAGCTTTTTCTTAGAAGATAATTTGAAATTTTCAAGATACTATTTTTTCATTCTTTCCTTTTCTAATTTATGGGTAAAATCAAGCAGATACAAATTCTTAAGTAATATAATTAATTAAAATAAGATAAAGTTTACACATAAAGATTTCTTTTGAGCATGTAATTCCAAATGAATATCATGGCACAAAATAATACCTCCATCACCCTTTCAGTTGCATTCAATTCTATAGCCGAAGATGACCATCTCTTTTCGAAGCTCTTTGTTCTTGCATCTTTACTTAATATACCATCATCGGCAAGGGTAACATTTGGGTACTGTGGAATTTCTGACGTAGATTTGGAATGAAATAATTTAATATTCTTTTCTAATTCAGTAACTGTTGTACTACTATCAACTTTTTCTGTCTGGGTTTTCACAGCAGCAGCTAGAAATTGGAAATTGAAAGAATACACATTAAGAAATAAAACAATTACATAAATAAATGAATACATATAATATATCAGCCAGAAAACTTTGAAAAACAATGCTGGAAATTTTCATTTCATTTACCACATGAACATTTTTATACATAATGATTTAAATTTTATTTAATGTACTAGTACAAAGTTAAAAATCTGGAGGTCCAATATCTGGAATGATCTAAAATCCAGAAGCCCAGATCACCAAGAACTTCCCCCTTTTTTGCTTTTGCTTTTGCTTTTGCTTTACAGATACACATTTGATATTTTTTTCATAATAAAACATACAGAGAATACTAACTCTTAATTTCCTTTCAGCACTATATAAAATACTCTATATTAAATAACAATCATTTATTAGTATAAATCTGTATTATGAATAATTTGACTCTCCCCCTTTTGCTTCGTATGCATCTCAAGCTGAAACATTCTACATTTAAACATTGTTGATTAAAATCAACCCAGCCTATCATTACGTACTATTATTTTGCTTTCATCAGGGCATGAATATTAGCACACAGCATCTTAAAAAAATAACTCACGCTGCAATGCATAAACATTATTTTTTAATACTAATTATTGAATACCAAAAATGGTAACATTTTATCTTGACATTACGTTTAGCAATGATTACATTTTAATTTTGTTAACAATTTAGGATTAAAAAATTTAAAAATTGCAGGTATTTCATCCTCTTCTATTAAAGAAATAGTTTAAACGGCTTTCATATTTGAAAAAATTATACATAAAAAAACAGTCTTTTTTAATAACAAAATTCCTGCCCAATATTCATTAATGATACAGATATACCAATAACAAATTACCCAATATAATAAATTAAACGTACATATATATAATAATAAATTAAACTTATATATATGTATATATATTTCACACGTATAGCAATGTTACTGACTAACATGTATCTAAAATTAACACTGAATAAATATTCTATTTTACTACATTATGCGTAAAAAAAATCAATGAAACTTTTATTAAAACGAAATAAAAGCAGAATCTACATTACACCTTAAAATGAAGAACGATACATTGATTTAAAAAAAAAAAAAAAAAAAAGCTTTATTCAAATTTCAGCGGAACTAGAAATTTAGAGCATTTCCAAAGATGTTTTAATACTGGAAGTTAACACAGATGAGCTACATTTTAATAACTCTATACTGCCCATATTAATCTTATATATACTAATATGATGAGATAATTCCTATACAAATCACAGCAATGAAAATTAGTACATTTCTTGCACTTTCAGCCAAAACAAGTACTACATACAACTAGCATTAAGAAGACCAAAAATTCTATTTTTACCAGGGTGTAAAAATAACAGAAATATGCAACACAATCCAGAAAGCATATAATAAGAATGCACAGTTTCATTCTACAGTATTTTCATGGTTAAAGAATATCATGGTGAATCAATACCAGGTTTTTCCCAGCAGAAATGCTAAAGTTAAATATTATTCACTAGTTTGGCTAAAACTCATAGAGGAAGAAACCTACAGCCAGCACCTGACTGAAAGAAATGCTTACAGAATTAATTGCCCAGCAATTAATGAATAACCTAAAAAAAATCACTACAGCAAAAATCTAGTATCAAAATCAGTTTTATTCATTATTGAGGCCCACCAGTGGCCAAGAAGTAAAGTTGCTGCACACTGGTAGTTCATTTCGGGTTTGAATCCTGGTGAATGAGATAGTTGCATGGGCATTTTTGTAGTTTTCCCCAATGTGTAATGTGCATATTAGCCAGTTTCCCTTATAAAGTCCTTCATGAAGGCCTGGCTTCCCTTCCCTTCAGCAGATAGGCTGTGAAGTGTTTTGCCGCAGTCAAATAAACCAAATCCTTCATCATTGAATAGTTGTCATTACTGCAGATATCACAAATGATGTAATACATTTGTATTTTGAAAATAAATTCTGTTTAAAATGGAAGTGTGTTTTTAGTTGCATTATATTACATTAATTACATAAGTAATGATGATAACTTGGTAATGAAATATAACTAGATCAATGCAAAGTATATTAAAAGACACCTTGAACACGCTGTTCTTGTATTATTCGTTGTTGCGCTTGCTGTTGCAACTGTCTTAAAGCCTGAAACTGTTTCCATTGTTTCTCAGGATCTACTTCCGGTGTTTTTGCTTCTTTCTGTGTTTTATCTGAATCCTAAATTAAAAATAAAAGAAAAAGTTCTTAAAACTCGTAAAACATTTAGCAGATTTAAAAAACAGCGAAATATAATAATATAGACATCCACCATGATTAGGTAAATATGAAAACAGGCCTCGAGAATAAAACAATAAATGGTCAAGTTAAATTTTGTTCTTCAAAAAAGGTATGATTATCAATTGCAAAGCAAAAGGTGCCTTAGCTGCTCCTCCTCCAGAAAAGAGAGCAAACTGACACTATAAGTACATAGGTATTCCACAGAATAAAGCAAAGTTGCAAAATGTGGCCTGTGCAGTTAAAACTGGTTATAAGAAATAAGCAAAGCATTAATGTTTGAGAATTGAGGTCAAGGTATAATTAAAATATTAGTTATATAATATTAGTGTCTAAATATTAGTTTAATATTATATACACTCAAAAGTCGTTAATTCGGACACCCATCATCCGGAATGATCCATAATGCGGACCTCAAAGCTAAAAACTTTCTGCGCATGCGCTGTGTTGACACATGCGCATAGGCGTTTACGCGTGCGCATAAGACCTTTACGACTGCGCATATGCGTGCGCGCAAGCACAGAATACATTTTCGCATGCGCGTTTAATGTATAACGGACGGTATAAGCTCAAATTATCTATTTCAGTTAATGTTGATGATTGCGTTGTTCCTTAATCTTCGAATTGAATCCGGCTTATTATTTTTTGCAGACTGTAAGAGCAATTTTATAAAAGTAAGCTTGAACTTTCAATTATGTCAAATAGATGCTGGAGCTCCCAAAGGATCTACAAATGAAAGTATGTTTCGATGTCCAGCAAACAAAAAGTGAAATTGCTGCAAAAAATGGATAAAGGTACGAAGAAAGTGACAGAGAGGTGATTTGTTTCTCGAATCATTCCGAAATCTGTTTATTGATTTCACGCTGCTCTGCGGGGGAATGAACGCAGCGCGCAATGAACTGGAAATTGATCTGTCAGCAGTATCCTTATCTTCAGGGAAGATATTTTTATTTTATTCAGCTTATAATTCCTTACTAAATGTAGTATTTAATCTCGTTGTACTCCGTCTTTGATATGATTTAAATCAAATTCCTCGTCATTATAAAATATCACGAATACAAATCAAATAGTTTTCTGGTTGCAATTTTCTAATTTCGACTATGCGTATTTACGCTTTACGTACGCGCGCGTTGAAAGAAATGTTTAATAAAGTAAACAAATAAATATTAAGCTTTTTTTTTTTTTTTTTTTTTTTTTTTTTTGTGTGTGTGTTGTGTGTGTGTGTGTGTGTGTAAATTTTGATACCCCTTAGATCATAATTTATTTCATAAATTACGATTTCATATTTTTAATTTTAGAATTTCTGCATGCCATCTTACGAGATTTAAACTGATGATCTATAATCTGGAAAAATCGATAATCCGGAATCGCCGAAGTCCCGACGAGTCCGGATTAACGACTTTTGATTGTACTTATAATTTTGACCTGATCTCAGTTCTCACACTTTATGGACAAATGTAACACACATTTGCCCTTAAAACATTTTGTGGGAGACATCTTAAAAGATATATGTGTGTATATATATATATATATACCTTGACCTTAGTTCTCACAATTTTATGGGCAAATACAATATGCACATAATGTGTTTTGTGGCACACATCATAAAAGATATCCATTGCTCATCCAGGATCAGAGTGACTTAGTGAATACTCTAGGGCTAACGACAGCTCCTTTGCTAGAACTAGAAACAATATCCTTTGAAACTTTGATACCTCTTTGTTTGTTAACGAACAGGGCAGAAGAAATTGTTGTGAATCTCAAATGGAATTTCAGGTATTTTGGTTATTTATATTGGCTTGATGCTTTGTTTTCGTTTTCATGCATATTTGATCAGAGGCCAGTCGGCTGTAAACTAGCATGGTTGGCACTGTTTGGCTAATGATCTGTCATGATATATAAATATGTGATGCAGTCAGTGAACTAGAGAGTATTCGCTTGTTTTTTTCTTTGGTTTTCATGTAAAGCCTGCTGTTGCAGCTTAGTTGTTTTAATTTATAAGTAAAAATAAATGTTAGTTTTGTTTTAGGTAATTTAAAGCATTTTATTTACGAAAAGGAAAGTGTGCTTTTCAACAGATTACTATACCTCCCATGTCGAGAAATTATGGGCCCAGAAAACTCAGTGTTAAAGGAATGCAAGTATAGAGCATGCAATCAATGAAGAACGAAAATGAGGAGGAAGATGTGCTTTAAAGTTGATCAAGCTGTTGTACCTACATGTAACTGATAATGCCACTACTACCAGAAGAGTTTGAGCTGTTAAACCATGGCAACTGGGATTGATGGGAAGTTGATATGAAGATGCTGCTGCTGAAGAGAAATTATTGGAGCTTCATAGAAGGTAAAAATGAAGAACTGGATAAAAATTCAACAAGGTGTAAAATGCAGGATTTCGTGTTGAGAGAAAACAGATTCTTCACTTTATTAATACTACTATGGAATTAAAATGGAGTTTAGGCTATATATACAAGAATGGTCAAGTGGCAAAGATGCATGGAAGGTGCAATCTGAACCAAAAATAAGAGAAAGAGTACAGCTACTGGATAAATTTTTCAACATTAGGTTTGTACCAGATGAAGAGATCAAGTTATTCATTGTGAGGATAAAAATTATGCCAAACAAGCAGGGGGAAGCTGGATACATCTTAGCAGATCTTTTTCAAGGACTTCCAGCAATTCTGTGTTTACACCAGGAATGCTCTGGGATTATACAACTAATTTATAGGTGGAAGGACAAGGATTTTATGTTGGCAAAAAAAACACTGAAAACTGATAAGGGAAGAAAGTTGAGTTGGTTGAATGAAGTTGTGAGGTACATGTAGATTTAAAAGACAGCAAAGTGTACAACACTATTAGCATAAATGCAGGTTAGAATACAGCTGACAGTAGAACTAAATCTAATAAAATAAATAGGGAATACAAAGACAGAACCTCATCATAGATGTCATAAATTTGAACTCAAGTGTCCAGTGTAAAGCAAATTTAAATAAAAACCAAAAGTTTAAAACAGATGATCAAATGGGCCAGTTTAAACATAAAGAATTAATGTTAATAGACAATTACGTATCAACTTTTGATAAAGAAGGTAATGCAGATAAATTTAATTATGTTGTAGATAATGCAGCTACAACTCATTTCTGCAATAACAAAAATTTAATGATAAATTTTGAAGAAATAACTGATATATATAGCTGTAGCAAATTTTGAAAATGAAGTATTAGTAAGAGGTACTGTCAAATTTGCAATAAAAGTAGGAAATCAAATAGGTTGGACTGAATTAGAAAATATATTGTATAATCCAAATCTAAGAAGGAATTTACTACAGAATTGGGTAAATGCCATCGTTCCCTGGAGATTTAAAGGGAAGAAATACATCTAGGGCTGCTTTAGCCTTTTCAAATTTCACTATCGTTTTAGCAAAATTCAAATCTAATGGATTATGAAGTAGTTCCAATGGATTTTCCTGGAAGTCAGAGGTGACACTTGTGTCCCACAGATGAAAATTCAACATGGTCGAAAGTGTATGCAAAGGGTTTATAGTATAACTGCCATCTGGTCGCATAACCGATGAGAGTTGAGACTCCTGAGATCTCTTAAGAATCTTATGTACTCTCATGGTAGGACCTGTGCAGAAGGATCTCCACGAGTTGTATTTATTTTCCTGATTTCACTTTAAAATTTCCTTTGTAGAATTTTGAAGTTAGACCAGTTAACTTCAGATTTATTTCTGACTGCTTTCCTGTGAGCTCTCCCAACCTCTAGGTGGAGGCTTTCAAGCTCCTTGGTCCATCAGACTCTCTTGCTAAAAGAGTACTTAATTCGTTTGAGAGGTCATGATGCATGATAAGATTCAATAATGATATTTGTCAGGTTGTTTGCTTGAGTATCAAGCTCCTCGACTGAACAATTATTGTCTAAAACCTGAAGGTTAATGAAATTTTGATTATCTTGAAGACACTAAAATATTAAAGCATGAAAATCTCAAAATAATAAAAAAAAAATGCAGAAGTGTGAACAATGCGTTATTGCTAAATGTAGTAGAATATCATTTAAACCCATTCTGAAGAGACCTAATATAACATTGCGGTTGATTTATTTAGATGTTTGTGGCCCACCTCCACTTCCATCTAAAGGTGGGAGTAAATAGTTTCTTGCTATCATAGATGAGTATACTAAGCTAGCATATTGCATAAAAAATTACAATGAACTATTTCAATAATTTTAAAAACTGTCATAGAATTGGAATCATGAACAGAAAATTAAAAATAAATGGAAAAATAGAATTAGTGTTGAACATACAAATATGAAGAGAACAGTGCAGTTGAATGAATTAGATGAAGTTGAAACTATGCTTAATGATGGTAAATTGAGAAAAGGATAGTAGGCAGAAGCTCTTAGATGTTTCATGTATACTTGGAACAGAGTCTGTCATAAGAATAACTGAAACCCTTAAAATATGACCCTTATGAAAGGTCATATTTTAAGGGTCATATTTTATTATGACCCTTAAAATAAAACCCTTATGAAATGTATCACAATTGAAAGCCCAGTGTTATTTATTTTAAAGTGTTCAGATGTAAAGCATGTATTGGCATACCATAAAAGATTAGAGATAAATTATAACTGAGCTGCAAAGAAGGACACACAGTAAGATGTGGCAATGAAACTAAGAAGTATAGAATATAGCTACCTGATGAACGGAGATTAACAGAAACCTGTAATGTGAAATTTGATGGAAGAATGAATGCAACAGATAGTATCCTGGGCTAGAAGCTTTAAACTCAGTTTAAAGCATCAGAAGAACCAGAAATGCTGTCAGAATTAGATAAAGAAGAAAAAACTCCTAGAGAGCGAATAGAGACATTAGAAGACAAATCCATACCGAAAGAAGATTCAGACTTCAACTGGCAAAGAAACTCAGTTAAGGGGCTAAATGGAACACATCTAGATCTTAATCTTTGGGGGAGGGGAAAGAATGTGCATTCAACAGATAATTTAAGGTAAGTCTGTTCCTCTTTATACATAGAAGATCTGCTTTCAGTAGTCCACAGTATATTTAGCGAGGTGCAACCATTTAGTTAGGATGTACATCCACAGACATGGCCCTATTTTTATGATGTCTATTTTTAGCCATTCTTATTAAGGAAAGGTTTAACGTATTTTATTTAGGGTAAAAAAAAAATCATAAGAATAAGTTTGGGCACAGAATATAGAAAAACAGCCAAAGATAGAGCTGAACAGGGAAAACAAATTTCACCTAAGATAAGGAGGGGGGAAGCTTCACCAAACATGAACCTTCAGACCCTGTCACAGCTTTCAATAATGCTGAGATTCTAAAGCATATTAATATTTCTTGCAATTTGCATGATAAAGATGAAGAATCTTCATCTACCATTCCCAAACAGTCTACAAGTTTGCACTTGACAGACCAACCTTCTACAATGACCTTGAACGAAGATCTAAAGGACATGAAGCCAGGATATAAAGAATCTACTCATTTTAGGTGGGGTGGACAGCAGAAAGATGAAGACTTAAAAAACTTTTGATTTGTTGTACCCAGGCAGTTTGGCCAATCACAGAAAAAAAGATGATTAGCAATGATCTTTCTTATGCAGTTAAGCTGTATTATTAGCCAAAAAACACAGACTTCAGATCCATTGAACATTTGACATCTTCTATATGATACAAAACATTGGCAAATACTGAAAAGATTAAAAGATCTGGGCTTATGTATTCTAAATTTTAAAATGCAATCTTTTGTGCATCCTGAAAGGTTTACCAGAAACATGCCACTGCTGCTACTTCAGCATTGTGTACAACAGGATACATTAATTGGAAAAAATATTCAGAAAGATTAACTGAGTATAAAGTATCTAAAATCCCCAGAAAAGTGCATAATTAAGTAGAAAATTCGAGTACAACAAATGAAATTGTGCCAGGGAATCAATCATGACAATGAGCGAATAATTCAGAACAAGGAAGAAAACTGGAAGGAGATCCTGCACTTAATCATGGGTGTTGTATTCTATCTTCTAACAAACTGACTTTCTTTCCGTGTGTCTGAAGAAACTCCTAGCAGACTGTTCACAAAGTGTCCTTGGCCTAGTCAAGGAATTTTCTTTATTTTTAATGTCTCTGCTTGCCAAATATAATTCAAAAGTATCAGTTAAAGCATCTAAAAAAAAGAGGCAGGTATCATATTAATCAAAGATAATTCAAAATGAAATTACTAATATAATTGCTAAAACAGTACAAAAGAGCATTTTAAATTATATCAAAGAAGCTAAATACAGTTAATCCCTCTCTTTTGAAAACTGCTTTTCAGTAGGGAAAAGAGGAAAAATACACTGGGAAAAAGGAAGTTGTGGTACAATCAAAAAGCTATTTCACATTCACAGAATTCAAAATCCAGTTAATCTTGCTACAGTTCTAAGTAGGAGTAAAAAACAGTGTTAGCAAATTGTAAGGTAATCCAAGACAAGGACCTATGGGAAAGAAATGATCGCAGGATGAATGGTGAAGGTGAAAACCCTTCTAATTAAAATTTTTGAAAAAAAATTGAAAGAAATTGGATATTTCTCTTAATATGTACTCAAAGTACGAGCCAAGACATCTGTTACATGCTGTGAAAAATTTTGAATTTATTACCAAACTGACAATTTGAGCTAATATTCTTCGAGAAATTGATTCTGCAAATATTAAAATTGAAAAGAAAGATATCATTCTTAAGCATTCAATCGCACTAATGGAAAGTCTGATCAAAGCTTTGCTAAAAATAAGGAAAATCTTATGGAATATTGGATAGAAAAAGCTAAAACAGAAACAAAAAAATTAAAGTTGAGCCTATTCTGACAAATAAACAAATTATAAAGTGCAAAAAGCAATTTAATGAATTGTGCGAAGAAGAATCATGAACACTTCAACCTGTTCCACTATTTTCTAAGGCAATAAAGATCGTATTTGATCAAATCTTACTGGAAATTAAAATGAGGGTTAACAGCACTAGTACACTAACTGCATTTTTTTATTTACTGCATAGATCTCAAATTAACTGCACTGATCATATCTCAAATTTACATAAAATAACATATACCATCATTTCAATTTTCAATACTTTAGATATATCTTTTGCTAGAACTTGGCATTCTTTCTCCTATTTTCTTGTCATTTTCATATCCATTTTGAAATTGTACAAAAATAAGAGAACCCAGATAAATCAGTCAGTACATTGCTTGATAGTTCCACCACTTTTCACATATTTATATTACAGCAGTCCTCAAAACTTTTACATTTTAACTAGATGATCATCATTTACTGGTAAGTCATCCAAAAGAACACATTTACTACCGATTGTGTAGGAGCTACATGGTTTCCTCAAACAGTAATGGTGTAGAATGGTGTAGTAATGGTGATAGAAGCAAAATCCCAATGATGCCCATAATAACTACACTCATATTAAGCAATTGTCTATAAGAAGCTATGACTCATATTTGTGACATGTGGTATAAGATTCTGACTTATTGTTTAAATAATATTAAAATTATTATATGTTAAAATTGTTAAAATAATGTTAATATCACATTTTTAATTAAAGCAACCCTGAATTCTTATATTATAATTAGTTTCAGTTTATTACTATTTAAAAATGTACCATAGGTCTGTGGAAAACGGTGCCATTTTTCACATTGGTAGCAAGCATGCTAATTAAATCAGGCAGCCTATGCTAAGTGCACTTTAAGAATTTTGAGATAAAACTATTTAAAGATTACTATCAGAGATAAATAATGCTGAATAAACAATGATTTCATATTTATCATTATTCTATGCAACATTTACTGGCTTAAAAAAGAGCTGCACGATTAGAAAACTATTCAGGGAAAAAAAGGCAATTTTGATCTTCTTTGTTGCTTTAAGATCATAAAAAATTCAAATGAAATCCCTTCTTCAAACACAGAAAACTCGCACTTTTACATTTAATAAATATATAAACTACGGTAGCCTATTTCTAAGTGGGAAGACTACCTCATTTGAACTTCATTGGGAACATTACATGTTAACATATTGGGTATGTGTACTATCTTTCACATTATTATTATACCACTTTTCTTTGAATTCAGAAAGTGATTTGGCAACCCTCTGAGGTTGTGATTTCCATGACACCATAAATTTGCTTGTGAAAACAGTAATCATTTAAAAAGCAGAATCTCCAGCTTTGTGAAATACAAGCAGGAGAAAAATTAGACTGCCTAGCTTACAGTCCCCAATTCAATTTCACTGAACATTTCTGCAACAAGCTGGATTACAGATTTTCACAAAGCTTAACTAATTACACCTTCTCAATTATTGAATTAGGAATGGAAACAACCACCAGCAGCACTCCTATTGAGACATTAACAATGGAAATAGAGTAATTTTTGCTTACATAGTGCATTTTCTTATTCTACTGCATGTTCTTTCATTTTAAACACATACAGAATAAGAAGCTACTTAATCACACTTATCAAAATAATTTCTGTGGTTAAGTTTAAAAAAATGTGATTTATTGCATTTGTAACTGAAAATTCTCAAATTACATGAGCTTATATTACTTAAAATTAAATAACACTGACTCATACAGATTAAATATTGAAAGAAATTCCGATTTAGAATAAAATTATGTTACCACAGAAATGAAACTAGTAAGCAAATATAAAAAAAGATATAAAATATTAAGCAGAGAGGAGAGGGAAAAAAACAGAATCTTACAGAGCTATTAGATCTTTGTGTCCGAGATGCAGCTCTATTTTCCCGAGCCCTTTGCTGCAAAATAAACAAAATAATACAGTTAACTTTTAGGCTTAAAACTATTATTTAATCTCACATTTAGAAATGACATTTTGTGTTTCAAAAAAAGGAGGGGGAACACACAAAATTTCTTACCAAATATGGCTGGCGTTTCTCAGCAGGTAAGCTACGCCAAATTTTGGCAATCTGCTTTACTCTATCAGACCAAACTGAAAATTAAAGAGAAAGTAATTAAAATATTAAATCAATAAAATAAAAGTTACATCAATATATATAGATACAAAATACTAGTAGAAAGAGATCATTCTTTTTTAATTAAATAATTAAAATGCATATAATAGTGAGAAAGGGATATGTTTAATTGAATTATTATGCACTATTCATAACTATTCATAAAAGTAAAATTAATTCAAATTACTGATAAGTTTGAAGGCAATAAAAACAGTAATAATAATGATGTTAATAACACAAAGAGAAATTATTTAACAAATAACTAATATAATGCTAAGGATTATTTAACAACACATGAAAACACATACAAAAATACAAAGATCCACACCGGTAAAAAGCAACCTTACCAGGATATTCAATTTTTAAATGAGGTAAATTTATATTTGCATATAACACTGGGGATATAGTAGACAGCAGTCCTAAATGTTCATCAGACTCCCATTTTAAAATGTTTTTCTGCATCTGTGACTGATCACACTCTGAATCTGGCCATGAGCTGTTAGAATCTGGATGTTGCAAACTTTGGCTATATAAGGAGAAAGAACTATTTTAAAATTATGATTACAAATACAGCAGAAAATAATCATGACACAGGAATGGGGAAAGGATAAAAGGTATCAAAGTGAGGCCAATTGAAGATGCTTCTGCGAAACAATTTTTTTTTGGGGGGGGCATGGCTTTTAGCATTTAAAGTCTTTAGTCATTAACTGTGATTTTATTTTTGTGAGTCTTTAAAAAGGTACATTAACCCCTTAAGAACCAGCGCCGGAAGAATGAAGCGCAACTTCTTCATGGGACAGAACATGCTGAAATGGATTGTTGCCACCGGCCCATGCATTTTCAGCAGTTAAGCCTAATTTTACACAAAAAAATCGCATAAAATCAGCATTTTGATAATATGACTTCAATTTTTGAAGTTGTTGTGTATTTAATGTACTTGTTTTTAATGTTCATTAATATAAAGAATATGACATTAATAGAAATAAATTAAACAGGCAAAATACTAAAATCGTAACTATACACGCAGAAACAAATACTACAAACATGAAAAAAAATTACAAATACGAAATTAAAAAAAAAAAAAAAAAAAAAAAAAACTAAACAATTACCTTTAAGTAATCAAATTCCAATTTAAAAATTCTGCTGTGTGTGAAATAACCAAAATAAAGATTGACACACAGTTCTACATTGCATATTTCGCACTCAAAATACGTTGTTTGCTTTCACTTTTCCTTGGTTTTAGCATACACAACGCATCTTCTCCTACCTTTATTACTTTTCTGTCAACGTAAATTTTCGGAAACTGCCTTCCAATTAGACGGAAAGGTATAGTGTCTGGTGATTTTGGACAAATTTTTAAGTTTTTAAGTAAGGTCTCTTAGCCATGGCTAATGGAAGGAAACTGAATATAAGTCCGACACATGTCTCAAAACTTCTTCAAAAGACACTCAGAAATATTTCATCCTCAAACACTGCGTGACAGCAGGTTTATATTAGATAACTTCCTGTTTTTCTAAATCAAAAACAGCGTCCATGATGACCGGAAGTGATCAAGGAAAGACTCCCACTGACGTTGGCTCAACAATTAGAATATAAACTCATCTAGATGTCACCCTGCATTACCTTACAGAGTATGTGTGTGATGAAATTGGCATCAATGGAAAGTTAAATGTAACAGCATGTTTGGAAGTTCTGTCTACCATCATGTAGCATATGCGGCAAATATTACAGATCCTTGCATACTCTAATTAGATTTTCTAAAGAAATACAATTTTTCTATGGACTTTAAAAATAATAAACTGCATTCAGAGGACATAACCCTGTTTGGAATTAAGGAACTTAAATCCATCCACCAAATAATAGCTCATGATGATATTACAGTACCAGCAAGAACAGAATTTCTACCCCATGGATCCATAACTAAAAACAGAAATTTCTGGTATGGCATAATGGAATAGCCAGAGAATTGTAACAGTCCAAAATTAGTACTAGTAGCCTCGGCACTTATGGGCTTAGAAAATTGTCTTTCTGGTGAGAATTGCCAATATCAGTGATATATTTAAGTCATTAGGAAAGGCAAAATGATTGCAGCATGTACTCATGTGGTTTGTGTTAAACAAAGCAATAGTCATCATGGAACATATCCATAGAGAATTTGTGCCTTTGGAGAGGCTAAACAAAGTAATAGTCCTTCAGAGTTTGTGCCTTCGGAGAGACTAACACTGGAGTTATTGCAGAATGCACATCTAAAGGATGAAGAGAAGAGTACTGCTGAACCCATCATTCAAGAAGTTTTCTCCCCAACATCTTCTGGCGTAGGTCAAACTTGTTTGATTCAGCATCATCCACCAATCAAGCAACATCTAAGATGTCTACCAATTGCTAAACAGGGAGATGGGAAAACTTTGAAACAAGAAAGTGACGTCATGGAGCCTTCAGCAAGTCTTTGGACTTCTCCCATCGTTCTGGTCAGGAAGAAAGATGGCACTGGATTTCTAGATTTGGAGTGCCCATTCAGTTACATTCTGATCAAAGAAGGAATTTCATATCAGCTGTAATTAAAAAGTTCTATAAAGTACTTGGCATAGACAAAACCCAAATAAGGCCTTTACATCCACAGTCTGACAGCATGGTACAGAGAATCAAACTATCCTTAATAATATCTCACCAACACTTTCGACAAACTAACAGAACTGGGATCAAAAGTTACATGTATTCTTACTGGCTTAACACAGTGTTGTCCATGAAACTACCAGCTGTTCTCCATCCCAAATACCCTTTAACTGCGACCTTTGTCTGTCTTGTAATCTCTTGTATGGTTACCATAATTGCTTGGGGAGTGCATTCAGCATCTCTGGGCATAATTTGAGATGATGCACAGTTTTGCACAACAGTAAATCAACTTGGCGACGGAGAAGATGAACATCTGATATGACACGAGAGACATAAATTCAACAAATGAGACAAGGTGTGGTTATAGAATCCCATTTAATGGAATAAGCTTTCTCCTTAACGATGCTCACTCTGGGACGGTCTTTACACAGTCCTAAACAGTCTGATTGGCCTTCATAACTCAAATTATAAGCCTAAATTCATTATATCCAAAAAGCCTAAGCAAATTCAAAGCCTAAAACTGTTCATTACAAGAGGATAGCCCCTTACTATGACCATAGTGTCTAGTCCCCATTGTGTATATGATGTAAATTGTAGATTAAGACCATGGTCCTATTTGCATACAAATTTGTAACTTCATTCATGTATTTTTTTATTTAATATTTGATCTGTTGTATATTATTTATTAAAATTACTGTTTTAGTATTCTAATGATTTTGCTTAGTTATAAGTACAGCTTCCTGTCCAGAGATTGTACTGTCCAGGACATGGAGTCCTTGGAAAGGGGGCAATGTTACGAAATTTGTATATATGTAAATAATTTTAGTGAAATTATATGTAAAATTGTACAATCTTACTATCTCTTGTGTAATGTAACATGAATTTCCTCAAAAATGGCAAGCTCTGCCATAAAAATAAGATTATAGGGACAAATCTATTTAACATTGATGTAAATGGCTATTGGAGAGAGATTCCCAAGCTGGTGATAGTTTAGGCAACTATTTTTTTTCCACAATTTGGTGAAAAATCCCTAAAATAGCCAAATTTGGTGGCATTTTGGTCTGGTCCTTGTATAACTATAACTGATCTAAAATGCGTATGCAACTGTAACTGTATCTGACCCTACATGTAATTGCAATTGTATCTGCCTTCCAGCAATTTCGAGAAATCGAAGTACTGGAAATTTCTCAGCAACCACAAGGTAATTATATAAGATGAGAGAGAGCATCAGTTCTCAGTTCTTAGTTAACAGATCATTTGGAATAGTCAGATATCTCTATACAACCTTCACTCTTTACACGCACTTTGTATTGCACTGTCTTTAACATTCTTAATAGTTTGAAGTGATAACTACTGATTGTGCTCTATCACACTATGAAGAGCTGTATGAGTACTTTTGTGGAACGTTCCAGAAATATAAAGTGTTTCTTCTGGGAAAATAAATTTTATCAAGTTATCATCAGTCTGTGTACATTCAATCCATTACAAGCACATACTCATGCAACAATATGAAATGCACTATAAAGTAGGATTTAGAAAAGTTATTGTTGTTACGGCTTTTTAGAGATACAAAGAAAAAAACAATAAGGTATGGTCATCCCTTACTGGAATGCAAAAGCTTTACAAAACTCTCCATACTGTTTATTAAAGTATTCCGGGGTTAATAAAGTGCATTTACGACGAATAGCACTTTGCCTCCTGATGAGTGTGTTAGGTGGGATCTGCTGCACTGATCAAATCAATATCCTAGTGAGTATCACATTTAAACCCAGTGGACCACTCCATCTGTAGGATTCTTTCACACTCAAGATTGTTGATCACTAGTGCAGCATGATAGGGATGAATATTATTATTGCCCATTAGCCAGAAAATTATTACAGACTGCATGCTTAAAAATTAGCATTAGGATCAAGAACCCCATCTCTGCATAATTCAGCATACATATAAAAATAAAATTCATCACTTAAGAGAATTTTGCTTCAGTATATGATACTCAAATCACGATGATCTCCACACCACTGCAAAGGGGTGAATTATAAGTTGTTAATTTGTTCCAGATCCTTGGACATATACCAACTGGGCATACAACTCTCATAAAAAACTTCAATAAGAAATAAAGGGAAAATAATTATTAAATTCTTATAACAAATCCTGTTATAACACTGTTTAATAATAAAATACAAATGCAATGGCTGAAATATATAGTGTACATAAATAAAAAGCTGCACATGACACTCTACATAAATGTTTGTCTACTATTCAAATAAAAAGCAATTTTTCAGCATGTTCTAATGTCTTTAACACCCTTTAAAATGCTAATCAATTTAGTAGCATCTTTGTTTTTTACAACTGTAGACACCATCATACCCAAAATACAGTATGCAACAACCAAGTTCTTAATATGCCTGCCACTTTCATTATTTCCAACAACCTCTTTTTTTTTCACCTCCATGGCAATTCTAACAATTTTTTTTTTTTTTTCTTTGCTTAATTCTTCTCATTAACTTTCTTAAAACTCATTGTTAATGAACCTAAGGAAAAATTATGGTGGGGCCACAAAACAATTTGAAAATTCAGAATTACAGTGTGGTTTGCTTACTGAACAGAAGCAACTTGTTTATTGACTCTTGTGGCAGCCATAGCATTGTCTCTAAGAGTAGTGCAAGCAACTGTGACAAGCTGAACTTAAGTTATATACCAAAGAAATGTTGCATACTAAACTAAAGTTTTCGCATCCAAACAAGATGTACACCAAGTTGGATGCATTTCCAAATGGATGTATACCAAGGTACCACTATTTTATCTGGTTATTCCTTCCTGTACCTGGAGCAAACTCTCTTATATTCTAGGATGATGTCTATTTCTTTTAGCAATTTTTTGTCTATTTCTTTCAGCTGATGTCAGTTGTCTATTTCTTTCAGCAAATTGATCTCAATCTGATTGATTGCAATGTCTTTAAATTGTCTTCAGATTCCTGACATAATGGTTCTCACTATTTTCAGGAATTAACGGATCTGAGTCAGTGTCCATTCAGCTTCCACTCTTCCAATCAACACCACTTTTTACAACCACACATACACCTCCTCAATGACATGTTTTACTTTCTGCAAATGAAAATTTTATCCAACTGTTTATTAAGGCTTTGAAATTGAAGCATCCCCTTGCATTCCTTTCCATTTACACTCAAAGACAGAGAGTACAAAGTACGGTGCAAGGGAATTTAAAGCATCCCCTTTCATTCTTTTTCATAAATGCTGGAAAATACACTTCTGAGTAGCAGAAATGAACACAAATGGAATACAATATTACACTAAGCTTGAACTTAAAAACCATCTTTCGTAGAACTTGATTTAATATTGGATTTTAATGAAAGTTTCCCACCACCACAAATACAGTCTGCACAAAAAATTTGTGTTGCCATGTTTAATCATAAATAGTCAAAAAAAATTTTGCATTTGAAAGAAAGAGATTTGCTTTAGAAGACTGTGTTGTGGTATTTATAAAAAAATATCCTTAAGTACAAGATGTCTGAAATGGAATTATCACGTTACCAGATTAGAAACAACATTTATTTCCAGTTCTGTTGCAAAAAGTTAGCTACAGAATATCACCAAATTATGTGTACAGCTTCAGGTACTAATGTTGTATCAGATGACACTGTGAAGGTTTCGTACCGAAAGTTCAAAAACATGGACTATGACATTCAAGAAAGAGAGGGCTCTGGCTGGCCTACTGATGTTGAAGAGGCCGCTCCATGAGAACTTGTGGAAGAAGATCAGTATGTAACCACTTGAGTGCTTGCTAAGGAAATAAACATTAGTGCCATGTCCATTAGTTGCACTATGCATCACATAAACTTGGCATATAAATTCAATCGTTGGGTACCGCATAAGCTGACTCAAGCAGATAAGGACAGATGTATTTAAGTCTGCCCTAACCTGCTCGAATATCAATGCAAGGACAAAATTCTGGATAGGATTGTCACTTGTGATGAAAAGTGAATTTATTTCAAAAACACAGGCTAAAACAAGGGTTGGTCTGCACCCGGTGGACCCATCGGCAGCATCACAAAACACAACTTGACTAACAAAAAGATCATGCTTTGTATCTGTTGGAATTGCTGTTGTATAATTGACAAAGAATATCTGGAAAAAGGTAAAACCCTCGACAGTAAGGTGTACAGCTAGATGCTAGTTCGTGTTGCTGCTATTAAGAAACATCAAAGCGAGTTCCGGTGCAAAAAGGTAATGTTCCATCAAGATAATATAAGACACAGGTGTCTGCATTTACCAGCTGGATTTTATACAAACTGAAATGGGATCTTTTGCTGCACCCATCATATAGCCCTGACATCGTTCCTTCGGACTTCTACCTTTTATCACACCTCCAGCTACATCTTGTGATGCTATCTTTCATTCTTCACAGGACATCCGAAATTAGTTGATCTGTTTTTGGACTTGTGGCCACCAAGTTTCTGGACTCAAGGCTTTGAAAAACTACCAAAATGCTGGCAGATAATCATAGATTTAAGTGGTGATTACTGCCTGCACTAAAGGTAATGCTTTCATTTTTCCCCCCTAATTTTATTAAGAACATTTTTTGCCAAAAATCTTTCATTACAACCAAATATAATTAACATAATGCACCTTTTTATAGATATATTTTAATTTTTGTGAGCAGTATATAACATGGAAAGTGAATGAGGCTGATAAATACACACACACTAAGATTCAACATGCATATATTTGCATTATATTTTCATTCTTACAGCCTCTTTGTTTAATATATTCACTCTTACAATCCATCATCTGGAGGCTTATGAAACAACTTTTAGAAATAAAATATTGAAAAGTAAGAGTTACACTGCTCAACTTTTTTGTTTTCTGCCTACAGCATTTTAGAAGCAGAAATAGCATTAAATATTTCATTATTATTGTTATTATTATTATTATTATTATTATTATTATTATTATCATTATTATTATTACAATATAACTCTACAAGTTATTTGGCATTACATATAACTTGATGACACTTATGTTCCAAGATTTGTCATGAAATTCTAATTTTGCAATTTTTATTTCTTTCCCTTTGTGACTGTATTTCTTGGAACTTGTATAATAAATCTGGTGGCAGGTTTTGTTTCTTTGTAAAAATTTTGATCTACCCCATTCCACTTCTTAATAACAAAATGGCTGAATAGAGTCATATAACCGCAGCTGATTACCACTCACATTCCTCCTTTCTGCTGTTAGCTGCTAGCAAGTTAATGGCTGTATCCTGCTGTAAGCTAAACTTTCAGTTCATTATGGGTAGAGTTTCTCACTTTCTAGCCAGGCTTACAAGTGTCGCAGTGTGCTATCTGTGCAAGTGAAAATGTCAAACAAGAAGAAAAGAAAATGAATTAACATAACAATGGACATGAGATTGGATGCCTTAAGAAACTGCAGAAAGAGAAAAGCATTAATAAAATTGCCATAGATTTAGGTATTGGATGAAATATTATTACGAATTGTGAATAAGCAATCCATTCTTATGTAAAATGAGATTTTAGGTAATTTGACAGCCTTTCAAAGTGCTTTAGATTGAGTTTGCAGGACTCTGCCCTCCCACACTTTGCACTCTATTGTATTATGTATTTTTAAATACACTGATTCACATATATTTCTTATGACTCTGAGAGTTCGAAGCTTGAAAGACATCTTTTGTTAATTTAGTATTTTGCCAGATGCAAACTACAGATAACGTAAGAGGTTCTTTTTTTAACACTACAAACAGAAATTCTTGCAAATGCACATCAATTTTATATATTTCTGTGTATGAGCTTTGTAAATAAAATAAGTGAAGAAGAGGAAAATCTTACACATTTAAAACTAGTTAAGACATTATTTGCTTCAAAACAGAACTAAACATCTTACACACATATGTCCCTATCTGCTTCCAAAAATTAAAAGTTTAAGATGCAATTTCATACATAGCCTATTGCCAAACACAAATATATTTGTTTCACAACATAATTATAAGAGATAAAATTATTTTTAAATAATCACCGAAGAGGATTAGTAAAAGTAGACCTCATAAGCATCTAGCTTTATCTTTCTAAAATACAAAGAAAAATAAAAACATAAAATTTGGGAAAATGCTTAGAAAATACTTACATAATACTAGGGTGTAAGCCTGACTGACTCATTCCTTGAGGTGTTGAAGCCTGCTGCATTACAAAGGCAGCTGGATTTTTTGAAACCGTTGTTGAACCTGAAAAAGTATTTATATTCAATATTCCATAAAAATTTTACTCTAAATGAAAGCAATGTTTACCTAATTGAGTGATTTAAAAGAAATATATATATACTTCTTAATTATTATACCTTTACTTTCATTTGTCAATTTCATTAATTATTAATATATCAAATGGATATAATTTAAAATGTGCTTAATTTGTATTACATCCAGTTGATAATTTTATGAAAATTGCATTACGTAATTAATATGCAATTAACGAATATACACTGATGGTAAATGAAATTCCAACACCAAGAAGAAATCAATTCAGCGGAATGAAATGTAGGCAAAGCATTTGCTTAGCTAACATATTTATTTGATTAATGTTTCACAGTCGCAGGTTAAAGTATGTATAGAAACAGCTACTTCCCAAATGTCAAATGGTAAAATATTAATAACCACTGTAGTTGTCACAATGTTGAATGCAAATGCAAACACACATGCATTGTGCCATATAAGTAGCTCATCACTTTATGGAATGGCTTTCCACGCCTGTTACACTTAGTGAATGAAATCAGCAATAATCTGTGCTGGTTGCAGACAATGCTGGATTTGTCTTCCAATTCCAACCCATATGTGGTTGAAGAGAGAAAGACTGGGTGATTTCAGAGGCCAAGACAACATGTCAATACTCTGGAGTGCATGTTAAGTGATATTACTGTTATGAGAAAGAGTGTTATCTAGTTCAAAAGTTCCCCCTGTAATATTGCTCACAAATGGCAGTACAACCAGTGCAATCACCAATTTTTAGTCACAAAGTCTGATGTACAAATTTGCTCTCATGGTGTGTGAGATAATGATAAGAGTGTTTCTGTAGTCACAGAAGATTGCCTCGCAGACTGCAACTCCTAGTGTAGGTTCAATGTGCCTATGCCACAAACAGCTTACTTCCAAGCACTCATCTGGCCTCCTTTTAACTAACATATAATGATCACTGACACTAAGACAGAAACAGCTCTCAGAACATAACAGATCTCCACTCTTGCCCTCCAGGAAGCTCCAGCTTGACACAGAAGCAGCAGATGATTACAACTTGGAGTTAGTGGTATGGCTACTACAGGGCGTCTGGCTCAGAGCTGTCTTTCAACTAATTTATTTGTTATAGTTCACTGTGTCACTCTGGTGCCAAAAAAAGTTTGAATGTCTGCTGCAAATGCTGTATGAAGCACCACAGACAAACAGAAAATATGGCAGACTTCCCTTTGAGTAGTGATATGTGTATGCCTGGACCGTGGACTTCTTGAAATAGCATCCTCCCATGACCAATACTGTCAACACACATGCACAATATGCCTACCAAGTCTATCTGCAATACTCTGAAAAGAAACTTCACCTATTCATAGCCCTAATAACATGGCCTCGTTCAAACTCAGTAAGCTGTTCATACCTCCTTCATCATCTCCTTAAAAATATTCTCAACTCAAATCTCACTCACAATGCCCAATCTGAAAGATAAAAGTTTACAGCACATATTTAAATCAAATGTAATTTACATGTTCATAGTCGCACTATGAGTACCACCCTTATTCGTCTGGCATGAAATATGAATACACACTGCAAAACACAGCTTTGTAATTTTGTTTATCTAGTAAAACCCCTTATTGGTTTTGAGATTCCCTTTTCCATTATTTAATTATTAACAAATGCTTTGAATGGTATCCATATATTTTGATATATAATGTGCACCTATAATTTCAAACTATACTTTTAATTTTTAGGTATATTTTACATATAACATGGACCCTTTTCTTTAGGAGGAAACCTGAAAGATATATGTGCAATGCTCTTATCTTTCGAAGTCATTCACTCGAAGATCTTTGCCAGGCTTTTAAACAAATGTTCTCCTACAACACGAAACAAACATAGTGCTGGTTTCAAATTCCATGTCATTCAATTTGTGAAAGAAAATAGAAATCATTCTGCAGCAAAGATGTTTGGTGCTGGTGGAAGCTCATACATGAGTGGAAGAAAATGAAATCATAATGATTGATATGCCAAAGAATAAATGTGCTTTGCGTAAAGAAGTAACAAAATAACATATTCTAGAAGAAAGTATTGCAAATAAGTCCTAGAAAATTAATGGAATGAATTAATTGTCACAAGACTGAGCTAAATCACTCTGTTACATGAATGGTGTTCAAGGCTGTTGCCAGCGGCAGGAATATTCTAGCACTCCTTGCCACAAGGAATTTCGTGGATTGTTTATTAGCATTAAAGGGGGGATGCAAATGAAAGTGAAAGCTTTAAAGTAACTTTGAGTAGGTGTAGTTCATTAATACCATGGAATAATTTAGTTCTTTGAGAAAAAAACAAAAGTTTCACAAAGGCTTCTGAAAGATTTTGGACAACAAATTTGTACATTTCCAGAAGTATGCTACTGACCTACAAATGCAAAAAAAAAAAAAAATTATTTTTTCTCATATACTGAAACATGGATGAAACTCCAGTAATGTTTGATATGATAGAAAATAAAAAAATTTAAAAAAAAAAAAAAACTGATGTGAAAGGCGCAAAAACAGTTCATATAAAACAACAAGTAACGAAAAATTTTATGTCCCATAGAGCTATGCTGCAGAGTGGACAGTATAAAATTAAAATCCAAGGTTATGTTTAAGAGACAGACAATGAAGAAAGGTAATTTACCAAATGATGTTTTCATTCATGTTCATTAGAAATGATGGATGGATGAAAATGTGTGAAACTACGGATAAGAAATGTTCGACAATCCTGTTGCCTTAAGGAATCCAGAAAGTATTTTAGTTTGGACATCAGGTGGGTAAATGGCATTAGTTCATCCTTTAGATGTATGCATTAATAAACCATGTGAAGAAAATTTTAAATTACAGTGGAATACGCGGATCTTAGAAAGTGAAAAAAAGATTTACAAAAAGAGGTTAAATGCATCATGTCAGTCTAAAAATGTGTGTGAATGGAAAATAAAAATGTGGAATAAAATTAAACCCGACATAATTCAAAAATCATTTTAAAAATGTAGTATATCTAACAATCTGGATGGAAAGGAAGATGATTATTTATTTACAGATCAGAGTAACACTGATGATGAAGACAAAATAAAATTTGATGATGTAAGAAGAATTGTAAGAATTGGAGGCTCCCTTCAGCCCACCTGGACACAAGTGTCCCCATAGCTCAAAAGAAGGGGCCCCGTATCTCCACAAATGAAGGCAGCCAGTAACCCAGCCACCCAAACAACAAACAAAAATACTAAATCAAAACTAAATAAGCACATCTAACACAATATTAAAGACTAACAAACAAACAAAAAAAATCCATAAACACAAATTCACAACATAGAACACCACAGATATCCAAAACCCATACAAACACAAAATTCAATTTTAACAGAAGATTCCTACCAGCACCCTATTTTCATTCATTTGATGATGTATCAGAATATATAACAGAAGATGAATATGATGAATTTTTCATGTAATCCAATGTTTTGTATTAGCTGAGAAATACTGGCGCCAGTCTGTCTCCGACAAAAAGAGAATGTTTACGATTAGCACATGTCCATTAGCTAAGTGGCACTGAACCGTCTGCGAAAAACTGTTTCTTTTTTATTTGTTTAATTTCTTTTATAAATTGTTTTAGATTTATTACAGTATTTGAATAGAAGATGTGGCAATGATTAGATAATTCTTCAGATGATATAATTCTGTGCATTCTGGATTCAGATGTAATGCTGTTAAGTGAACCTAGCACCAGAGTGTCGCTATGGTAAATAAATCAAAAGGATTTTAAAGAGTGCATTATTTTTATAATAAGTGTGGTGTATTATTCTATTGTGGTTTATGTGCTATGGACAATGAGATTAAATCCAATTCAATTCATCCAATAATAAAAATTTTAAGTTCATAAGGTTTATCACTTCTTTTAAATACATTTGAAACATCAATGGTGCAAATTTAAAAAAAAAAAAAAAAAAAAAAAAAAAAAAAAAAAAAAAAAAAAAAAAAAAAAAAAAAAAAAAAAAAATCATCAAAGGTGCATGACAAAACATAATCAGAAATCAGATTTATCATAAATTGCCCTATACAGGAATTGTAAAAAACAAATAAATGTCTGTCATCACAAAATAGGTATATACTCAACTATTAAGTAAATTTTAATTTGAAAGCTAAATTATAGATCGTATATAATGTTAAATGGCAGTAACTCCAATAGCTTGGAATTTATCATGCTACACATAGATGATACACACCCTGGTACCCAGTTCATAAATTTTATGAATAGCATAACAATACCAGAAGAATAACAGAAAGACTAAGTCAATAATTTATGGTAAATGAAAAACTAAAACTCCCCCACTTGTATTATACTAAATATATGTTTGGCTTACAGAAAGAAGATGACTCAGTTTTCTATGCTTTTTTACCCCACAAATATCTCGCTCCATGTTTTAGTGAGCATAGATATTTAGAGTACAGAGTTTTATTATAAAACTCTGTACTCTAAATTATAAAACTCTGTACTCATAAGAAACTCTCATAAGAAATAAGGATTTGAATATAACAATAAGCAATTTGAGCTGCTTACGAAACTGAACCACATTTGACATCCTGCGGTCCTGAATAACTCCTTGAAAAACATCTTCAACATCTTTGCTATCCATTTGAGGAAGTCCTAAAACAGAGAGTATTAAATTTTAATTTTATTTTATTTCACCAACTGACAGAATTAATAATGACAGAAAAATACACATGGATGTCATTCTATGATTTATTAACACTGAATAAATGCAAGCATACTTTAAAAAAAACTCATTATTAAATTATGAAATTTCTATTAAAAATCTAAATTTTTACTAAATCTTGACAACAGTACCAAAAGAGGTATAGTGAATTTGAAAAAAAAAAAAAAAAAAAAAGTGAAAGCTCTCAAATTTTATATTATGCCCAAAGAGGTGTTTTTTTAATGTTTTTTGCATTACCTTTATTTATTAAATATCATGTTCTTTACACTTGAACCATATAATTCAATCCAACAGCAATATTGCAAAATATTTAAAAGAGCACATCTTTAGAATTTCTGATACGCAGTCTCACGCTCTGGAGATGAAAATGTTTTTAGCATTTCATCTGATACTAATTCAAACGTTTGACTTCTGATTCAAATGTTTGACTTCTGAATTAGTATTTGTGCGGCATGTTATTGTGTCTTAATTATTTCATCTGATGTTCAAATTAACTGAATTATGATATCCAAAAACCATCAGATTTGCAGCTTTCATGAAATTTGGTGAAAACTGGCTATAAATTATGCCACGCATTTGTAAAACATATTTGACATGACTGAAGACATGTTTTCTCATGATATTACAATGCATCATGCATCAGATTATGCAGTGAAATAGTTCTAGAATTCTTAGATGGTCTTACTACAGCAATGGCTTTTAAGAAGCTACTTTATATCTGTACCTCAATATATGTAAAAATTCCAATATTTATATGCTGATTAACAGATGTATATTTTTAGGAAAAGAGTAAAACAGAGATGTTATCATTGGCTAAAACTGTAATTTTAATAAGATTGATAATAGATGAAACAAAATAATAAGCTGCTTCAGAAATAATAAGCTGCTTTAAAGGAAGATTGCAATTTGGCAATTTGGCTTAAGTTTCTCAGATTCTCTCTTTGTTCCCCCCCTACTATGTCAATAATAACAATAATAATAATAATAATTGTTAAATTATAATCATCATCCCATTCCAAATAAGTATATCTGGGAATTCAGTTGTTGTCTGCGTCAGATAGAAAAAAACTTACTCAAAAGCTAGAAGTTTGGCCATAGTTTATGTCAATCTATGTATTGTCATTGGCCATGGTAGGATTCCCTGCTGAGCAGGTATTTTAAAGTGACATAAAAAAAATGTCAGTTAATTGGAAGGAAAATTGTTTTTACAGCACACATTTTTTATTCTCCCTTCTTAGACTTTGTATAAGAAAACTTTTAGGAGGTTAGTTGTCCAGATATTATATCATTCTGGATACTGGACATCCAAATTTAAGATTTTGTGCTATACATTTTTTAAGTAGATTTTTGTTTCATGAAGCCCTGGTGCTTATTAGATTTCATATGCCACTAGCAACCATCATGACTGCTTAAGCGAATAAAAAAAAAAAAAAAAATTGCACATAGAACACAACACATAATTTTCTAAAAATTTTTAAGCAAGTAAACGCAGCCACTTCACTTTAATTTTTCTATCTTTTTAAAGAACTTCTGCTTCTTTGAGAGCAACATGACAAGTAAGTATATTTATCACAACATTTTTAATAAAAATACATGTGAGAATCTCATACACATATTTAAGGCATCAACAAGCAATGAACCAAAGCCTGATATACATGACATAACAAATACACATAACATTAACACAGCAATTTCAATCAATCTGGCATATAGATTGTGATTTTAGCACAGCTGTTGGTATCAGTATGACTTATTGATCATGACATTGTAGAGTCATTAAGTTAATTGGAGGCAGAAAAGATGAAAAATATGCAACCGCCTTTGCCGGGAATCGAACCACGGACCACTGGAATACCGGCCCAGAGTGCAGAACCACTACACCACGAAGGACGCTAGGAAAGTAGGAGAAATACCTTATATACTCCCTTTTTAAAGGGCGACTAGGGTTTTAGGGGATTTAGTCGCCAAATCCTGGGTGTGGAGAATCATCATCCACAACACTTTTAGTTCGGGCAAAGGCAGAAAAGATGAAAAATTAGCAAACGCCATCACTGGGAATTGAACTACGGACCTCTGGAATACCGGCCCAGCATGCTACCGTTACACCACGAAGGCACAATAGGGAAGTGGGAGAAATACCTTATAACATCAGTACAATTCTCAGTTTTCATCTTTCATTTCGACCACTTGCATATAGCAATCATGTTATTTAAAATTGGTATTTTTTGTAACAATTTTTTTTTCACATCTGTAATTCCAGAGTAGAGAATAGAAATCTGTAATAGTTGGTATCTCTAGGTTACCTCTAAAAACTTTTAATAATTAATAATGTTCAAAACTTGGAATTCAAATCTCTAATGATGTTTATGAATTTCAAAAATGTATAATGTTTAAATCCATTTGAATCCTAAAAGCAAAAGTAGGAAGGTTAACTAGGAAAGAAGACATTATCTCCTAATGTTAACAAAAGCTGACATTTGTTTCAGTTGATTTCCAGTCAGAGGGGGTAAACTGTTTAACCTGCTCATTCGTGACATATTGCCTCTACAATTTACAAGTTTATTAATCTTAAAGGCTATGTGAAGAAGGAACGAAAATTATTTTAATACATCCAGAGGACACACATTCAAGAATTAAAATTAAGAAATGTTAATTGGTAGATAAATAGCTCATTTGGTAACAATTACAATTTCAAATACAAATACAAACAGCAGTCTTCCCTTTAAAACAGGAAACATAATGATGCATTAACTCATTAGCATGTACAGTGGAATTTCAAGTCCAAAATGTACAAGACCAACTAAAAAGTTTTTACGCTACCTGTTTTATTCAGTAAATGAAATGTTAACTTTATTTACTAATATGGTGCCTAGCTTCGGAAAGACATGGTTATTTGAGACTATGTTTGAATGAAGTTAAGCTTAAAATGCAAAGTCTAACTCAAAAATTTATTTATATGCAATATTTTGAAAGAAAAATAAATTTAAAAGTAGCAGACACTATTTCTCATTTCAAATAATAAGCTGTTGCCAGAAGTTTTTATTGAAAAGCATTTGCATTTTAAAATTTTTTTCAAAACCATTCTGAAAATGTGATTACATCCTCAGTAATTTAGAATGCTTTTCAGTACATATATTAGCAGCAATGGAGAATGTTTTCTTGACAACTTAAACTTTCTTGACAACTGACTTGTTAATGAAAATTGAATTATTCATAAATCATAATATAATCTGATCAGATTTTCAGTTCATTTTAATACTTAACAAAACAAAAGAAAAATTTGTTTCTGAAGATGAAGAATTAAAATACTTTGAATTTTGTACAGTTATGACTAATATTTTCAGTGCACATTTTCATTAAAATTCGTTTGATTCTCAGCAATTGGAAAGCTTCTGAATTTGAATGAAAGATACAAAGATTCAGCCAAAATGTTTAATTATTTTTTTTTAAATTTTTAAGAGAAAAACCACGATAAATTGGTACAATTATTCATGATATTCAAAAAAATTTTTATTTATAATAAAATTTTAATATAGAGTAGGGCAAGAGAAGCAATCACCCTAACTTTTAAATTGCAATGAAACAAACTATTGAACAAATAATAAATGATCAGAAAATTCAATATGAATTCTAAAAATACGAAAAAGAAATGACTCACATTTGCTGAGTTTCAAACCTAGTCTTCAGTCTGAGTGACAGACAACACTCACTGAATTCAAATCTAAACTCAAAAAACCGTAATATATTGTCAAGTCATCTGAGGTAATTAAGGTTTTTTTTAATTAATTTAAGCAATTTAAGATCCCATAGTTTGTTTTCCAGCATCCTACACTGTTTACTTAACTGCAGGAAACAATCCATTAAACTGCATGAAAATTTGTGAATTTTACCAACACATTAATAAAAATTTTACTGAAAGTGTATTTCCCAAATATAAGTTTTGTATTAAATACATATATATTAATATATAAATGAAAACATCATGCTTAGATTGCATTACGTGTTAAGTGTAGAATATGAAAAATGTTACATGATCAATGTGTAAAAGGAGCTATTTTAGTGGCACTGTAAATGTTATAACACATTTAAAATATTTTAAACCTACAGCACTACCTTACTTATCATCATAACACAAGAAGTATGATTATTACTTCAACACACAGAAAAGACTCATTAACAGGGAATATCTGCAATTCCATATAACCTTGGGGTTTCATAAAGCTAGTCTTCTTAGAGAGCTAATGTGCAATGCATTGTATTTTATGTTCTCAGATTGCTTTCAGAGGTTTACTTAAGGGTCTTACGAAGGTGGTTGCGATCAGAAGCTTCAATGTTTATAAGGAGCAAAATTAAAGGCAAAGTATACAAAAATATTTATGATTTTAATAAAATAAATAAATAAAAACACATAGTTGAAATTATTTTAGATGAAAGAAACAAGCATATGAGTGAATGCATGGGTTATTTTACTGAATTAACATTTCTCATATTTTCACAGAAACAAATGAACATTTCAGAAGTCAGATTTGCTAAGAATAAAACACATATCTTTTACAATGAGGAAATTAGACAAAATTCCAGAAATTATTAGGCAATATATGCAGAACTAATGGATTTTATGTAAAATAAATTATATTGTATTTTTATATATTATTACAACTGCATTTAAAAATAAATTTCCACAAGTTATTTAATAAAAAAGTTTTACTAATTTTGAACTCCAATAGCGGGCAAAAAGAAAACACAAATTTCTCATTAGAAAGATGGAAGAATCCTTAGTATTTGTTACACAGCAGACTCATGGGCTAAGCATCATATTTTGTCTACCAAATAAACAGTACCCCAAATTAAAACCTACCTGAGGAATCAGAATTTAGATTCGATGTGGAAGATAAATGCTCTTCTTTGATGCTTTCAATTTCAGATTTGATTACACTCTTGTCTAGAACAAACATAATTTTAGACATTCTTAATTACTTTTAATAATATATGCAAAATCACTTTTTTAGTCAAGTGTCTAATTACAAAAATGAACCATTGTTACATGCATTCAGTATACATTATTTATTGATGTTATCAATGAAAAAAATTATTAAGTTCCTTTAAATCAAATTTGATTATAGTAAAATATTCTTTTCAAGTTGTCAGACATTTGATGCAGAAATAGAAAATACAGTTCAATTGCATATTCAATGGTATACATATTTTTTTAAATGAAGAAACCAACTGTTGCTTTGCCAGGAATATAAGTAGCTAGCTGATGTCCTGACCACTACATGAATGGTAGAAATGTCCATGGCACAATGGAATTCAAATTAATTTACAATAAATCTTAATAACTCTGCTTTTAATGCAGCATTATGTTTTATGTTTAATTTGTATGTTAATAATAATATAATAAATTTGTATATAACAAAACATGGTTTAAAAAAATATATATTTTGAAGAACTTATAATGGGAATTTTTATTTCAACTTCTTGAACTGACATCAGTAATTTTTCAATAGGCTATGAAAATAGCATGGGTTTAAAAGATTAAGCTAATGCTCTACATGAAAAAAACAACATAATTTCCTTCTGAAAATGCTTTTTTAAAAGATTATGGAAAATGTCCTTAATTCCCTGCACACTTACAAATAAACATCAAATTGGAAGATAATAGAAATTCAAAATTGATGACAATTAAATGTGGAAAAGGAAAAGAGGATTTAAAGAAAAGTTCAGAACTGATGAAAAATAAATACGTAAAAAAATTTAACCACACATTTTCAAATATGGAAAAATGTTGTTGAATATCCTAATCTGTGTCAATATACTTATTAATTTTTGCGGTCAGAGCTCTTGTGCTTATTCAATTCTGTGAGAAAAAGAATGAGTTTCTTATCTTGCATATCCACATCACATTTGAGATATTCTTTCCTAACTCTGTGTGCATATAAACTCATTTTTAAAGTATATTTCAACAACAAGAGAGAAAAGAAGACAAAATGGAAAACTTATCCTTGAAACAAAGCTTTTGGATAGAGATAATGAGATTCAGCTTCAGGAAAAATCAAGAATAATACCTCATCTCAGTTATAAAGATAAGGGGAAAGAAATGACCAGTATATTTATTGAATATGGCCTCTTTTTACAAATATCATAGAAATCCCTTTTACAATCTCAGTTCTAAAGGCATAAATGCTTCACTATTTTGGAACTACCCATTATTGTAAATTATCACATTTCCATAAACAAACAATAAAAAAAAAACTTCACAAAACCTAGTATTATAATTATAAAAATATAATTTATCCAAATCAGATATTAATCAGTAGTCTACGCCCTCTCCCGCCCCTCCCCCAAAAAATATTTTTTTCCAACACTGTCAAATATCAAAGTGCAAAAAAGTCAGAATTATTAAAAAAAGTCAGAATCACTTCCAGTTTAAATGTTTTTATTACACGTCCAGAACTAAAATGACCTAATTCAGAAATATTTTAATATAATTTTTATGTATTTTCATACTAAATTACACACTTTAACATATACTAATTTCGTAATCCTGTAGTACGAGATCTACTGCTTTTAGTATTCCTTAGATAGCATCATTAAAATGCTATTTATAAATTCAAACATGTGATAAAACTGCAGAAGAAAGAAAATGACTACGACAATCAATGTTAAGGTGTCAACAAAAAAATAAATAACTAATATTGGTGAATCACCATATTACATGATACCGCTAATTTTTCTTGCAGACAGTAATTATGATATAAAACAATAAGATATCTGGATGTAGTTTCTCTGAGGTTTTTCACTATATACCTCAGAACAAAAGTGGTGCAGCCTATGATGGATAATACAAAAGTATTAGAGAATTACCAGTCGTGGTAATATTCAAGTAACTGTTCGGATTTTCAAAAGTTTCACAGAATAAAAGACTTTTTCAAAAATAGCACAAATATCTTATTTCCATTGTTACTGATTCATTCGACTGTGTTAATAACTTGTTTAACTCCATTTTTTATCTCTTAATATAGCTACTAACACACTATCTATCTCACACTTCACATACTGTTAACTATATATACATATTTCTCCCAGTGCATATTTTGCTCTCAGCAATTGCAATGTGTAATTTAAAAATTTTTAATTTTATTTCCTAAATTTTCAACTTTTAAGAAACAGACAGCTTTAGTACAAGGAGCAGTTCTTAGAAATCTCCAACCAATATTCTCTGCAGATGCATTCCAATGCCTTTCATTCAATTTTCAAAATCATAATCAAAGCTATTCCTTTCCCAATTAGATAAATTAAAAGGAATGGATTTAATGTAACAATAACATCCCCTTATGGCAATGAATAAACTTCATCAAAAATTGCTTAAAACAACAAAAATCTTAGTAACAATAAGCTTAAAACAACAATTTTGTTTTATATTTGATTTTTGAGATTGCATGTCCTCATATGCTTCCTTTCTGCTATTTTCAACTTAATAATATAAATTTTCAATTTAATAAATGAATATATTTCTAAATATTAATTCGAGTCATAAATTAGAGAACTTGCAACATTTCATACTAAAAGTTTAACCAGCAACAGAAGTTGAGAGAGAACTTCTAAAGAATGAGCATTCTTTGAAGTTGTAATATATTGAAGCTATTGATAAAAAATTTCTTCCATTAGAAATTCTTAGGTGTTAATTAAAAATGGAAATTAAAACATCTACTCCTAAGTAAACATAATATAGCTCTTCCATTTAATATTGGACTAAGACCAGAGGGTTGAATTATCAGCTCATCTAAACATCCAATATCAGCCTCTATCTTTCTCTTTGGGACCCAGCTGTAACCACCAGTTATAAGCTGCTATACAGGCACTTAAAATCTACAATTCTCTCTTCCTGGAGTTCCTTTTGAAGTTTATATGTCTTTACCAGTAATAAGAATCTTCTAACAAAATCTATAAATTTTATCATTACTTGTAGCCAAGGGATGGATAGCAACTGCATTAAAAAAGTATTGAATATCTTACAAACAGTACTACTCAGCTTGCCACTCATACACATTTTTAGTCACCTAAGATCCCCCTTTAATCCCTCTCTTCAGAAATGCCATATGCCATATTATTTCCCGTTCAGTTTTCAAACAGGAAAATAAAACGCCCCACCTAAAAAATGTAAAATTACATGTGTAAATACTCTTAAACTTGAAACAGAGTACAATGGCAATTAATCAGACAGCTGTCTAGATGCCTTCCTATTATTTTTAAAACTCATAAAATTAATCTTCTTTTCATTGAATTACTAGCTTATAAGATTTTGATCTTTAACATAAAATCATAACACAACACATATGTTTCATTCGGTTTAGAAAACAAAATAAACAATTTGCATAATTGAAGTTACAGATACCTGAAGGCCAGATAACTGAAGTTCTACTGTATATATGCTCAAATTTCTGCAAATAATACATTCCAATATGCAGTTAACATATGGGAAAAAAAGGGTATAAAAACAAGTTAAATAAAAAATTGTACTGACTGTTAACAGGTACAATACCCTACAACATATTTATAGGATAAAGCTAGGGTGCAATCTCAAAGTCTCAGAGATTTATTACTACCTGAATACAAAAGAATTCTATAATGATCATTTCCATTCCTTGTATTTAATTGCATTAGTCTGAAACAATGCAGATAGTACTGAGGTTGCTTGTATATATTTCGGCTACATCATGGCTCACTAAAGCTTAAGCCTGTATCTTGAAAGTTATGCGAGTTTTAATTATATATATTTCATTTCTTTCTACCACTGTTAACTACAGATATTGATTTACAGTATATACAGACATATGTGAATCTTGAAAAAATATTATTTAAAAAATATGCCCAAGTTGGGAATTAGATTAATAATTATAATAATGAAAATTAAGAAAAATCTAGAAATACATTACATACATATAACATTTGTTTTATTCACATCTTTGTCGACTTTGTTTCCAGTTCCTGCTGAACTCATGAAATCTTTCATATCCTTTGAAAAGAAACATCACAAATAAATAAATATGAGCATATCATAAATAAGAAGAAAATTTTAAGAAATAAAAAAACATTTTAAGACAATAACAATTGTCTTGAATTAAAATCCATACTTGAGGCTTAGATTCAGGTGTGACCAAGCCAGTTTCTCGAGGTGGTTGGCTTCGTTTTACATGATCTTCTGAAAAGGCCTTTGTCTGGCTTGCACTATTTTCAGAAGCAACATCAGTAGAATCATGGATTTCCATCGACTTTCCCAGCTTTTTGCAAGACATCAAAAGCTCTTTCCCAAAAAACGCATCCTGACAAAGAAATGGTAAAAAATAGATATATTTGCAATTAGAAGAAATAACAGTAAAGTAACAGAATTATAATTTGATTAATGGTGAAAAATTTAATTTATTTTACCCCACCCCCCCCCTTTTTTTTACTTCCTTGTACAAAGTAAAAAGCGCTATTGTGCTGTGCCATATTTTTGACATACGACAAGTGAAATGTGATAGCGCTTCGCCGGACTCAAACGGTTAATGTTTTGACAACCCTACATGCATCATCCATATTCAGTTTAGCCATGCATTTTGCCTGAGCAGGTACTAAATGGTATTTTCCGTTTTCTAAACTTTATACAGTCCACCTGCTTGATTTCATGGGCAATTGTTGCATATAATACATATGTGAATTTAATTTTTATGATAATTCCTGAATAAGTTACTCAATCATGAAAATGAAGCAATCCAATTTTTTCAAACTGACAGTATACAGCTAAATATACATGCATGCAGTGAATCTCATCAAATCAGCATGTACATCAAAAAAAGATATTATTTTACAGAAATACACCATTGATCAAATACAGACAGATGGTAAGAATGTGTATTGAAAGTTGTTTCATATGAAATCAAATGATATTTGTATACAGTGGTATATTGAGATACGAAAGTCCAATAAACAAGTATTTTTGGACATGAGCAGTCACTATGTTCAGTTTTCAGCCCGAGTTATGAGCCAAATTTTGATATACAAGCTAGTGAAAGTGGCATCACCGTAGTTGCTGCATGCAAGACTCACAAATATGAACCACAATGTAATAGAGACTATAATTTGGGAGAAGACACAAGCCATTTACACAGATTTGCTGCAGCAGAGCCCAAGTACACTGTCCTCCAAAAGCTAAGGAATAGCATGTTTTTTGTGTCTAATTTGAGAATAAAGCAGCATAGGAACAAGAAATTTACAGGATATGTTCACTAAACAGTTCTTTAATGAATGTGACATAGAATGTTTCTAAAGTTTTATACAAATATGAATTTACAACAAAAAACTGCACTCTTGGCAGAGAACTAGTGTCTTGGAGAAATAGTATATCATAGTTTTTTGAGGAAAAATGGGGTGGTAATGTTACAAAAATGGGTTCTAATAAGGAATGTGTCCACCCCTCACTGCAATACACTGGTTTCAACGACATTTCATGCTGTCAATTAAGTCAGTGAAATGAGAAGCAATGACCAGACATGAAGTAATCCTTGTTCAAGCTCATCTAATGACCTAGGAGGAGGACTTAAAGCAGCAACCTATCTCCCAAGGTAGCCCCAAAGATACTCTATCGGATTCAGGTCTGGGGATTGAGCTGCCCATTTCATCCACTCCACGCCGTGACCCTCAAGATATTCTTCAGCAACCCGAGCTCAGTGCGGTCACACATTCTCATCCAACACAAGAAATCCAGGACCAATAGCAGCGGCATATTGATCAAGGATCTCATCTCGATATGGTCAAACAAAACACATGCAGGTCAGCATAACCACTAAGAGAAATCCCAGCCCAAACCATTATTCCACCACCTCTGTAGCTGTATCTTTCCACAATGTGAGATTGTTTGTATCTGGTGCATTATTTTCTCCAGATCAGATGATGACCTGAATCACTCTCCAATGTGAACATGGACTCGTCTGTGAAGAGAACAGACATCCATTGTTGACTGGTCCAGCAGACATGCTCTCTTGCCCAACATAAACAGGCCCGTCTGTGTCCTCGGGTCAAGGGGACACAAACAACTGGTCATCTTGCATAAAGACCTGTACTGTGCAGGCGTCAGCGCACTGTAGTAGAGATTCTTGTTCCTCTTACCACTAGATGATCTGCCATGAGCTGAGGTAGTAATGTTAACGAAACAGTAATGTTAATCGTCCTTTGGGCTGAAAGAGCTAAATAATGGTCTCCCGCAGATATTGTAACGCTAGATCTGCCTGGAACATGTCTTCTAGACACAGAATCCTCGGATTCAAACTGATTCCATAGTCGGTGAGCGACACTACAAGAGACACTGAGATGTCTAGCAGCATCAACTTGTGTCATCGCCACTTTTATCCATCTGAATGGCTGCCACTTCAATGAATCTGGCAAATGGCTTCTCCTGGATATTGTCAACAAAAGTGTAATAATAACTGAAGACCAACTCTAGTGAACAAAAAATCGCAATTTTTGTATCTTTTCTCCAACTCCTATATAAATACTCCTTTCTGTGAAATAAAAGTGGTAGCTATTGTTTTTGCATATATTTTTTAAAACTCTGTTACTGTCGTGTATATGAACTGTGAATTTTAACATTACTGACATTTTGTGATGGTGAGCTTTGAAAAACACGTGTTCCTTAACTTTTGGAGGGCAGTTTACTTCAGCACAAAAAGCTTCTCAGAAGCAGTTCAAAGCCAGTCACAGAAGATTCAAGAATTTCTAAAAAAGTACTGGAATTTACTCCATTGTCAGTCATGGTGATTGTAAAGCAGCTGAGCAATTTGTAAAAACCTTTACTGCTTTATCAAAGCCAAAGGATATATCCTCCAACAAGTGTTCAACTGTAAAGAGACAGGGCTCTTCTGGAAGAAGAAGCCAAGAAAAACTTAAATTATGGCAGAAGAAAAGAAGATGCCATGTCACAAGCCAATGAAAGATAGGTTGACTCTCACACTATGTGCAAATGTGAGTACTACTCAGAAAAACCTCAGAACTTTCAAGATACATAAAGTTTTAAAAGAGAAGCAACAGATTATGTGGAAGGCAAACCCAAAAGCATGGATCATCAGGAAGGCATGGGTTGCCATGAGCCTGGAAATGGATGAGGGAGATACCAAAGAGCTTACTACTAGACAACCTTGAAGAACTAATGATGGAGGAGTTGACGGAACTAGACACAGCAACAAATGGAATTTCTCTAGGAGACTGCAGAGAAGCCAGAAGTGGATTAAGCTATCTCTTCCAATGAGATAAAGGATGTATTGGTATTGTGAGAAAAGGTTTCAGACTTTGTTGGAAAGAAATTCTGAAAAGGTTGCAACTAGTCATCCGAAAAGGGAGAAAGAAAGAAAGCTCTTTAGACAAGTTTCTATTGAAACACCCTTTGGATAAAAGTGATGAAAGCATGGCAAAAAAGAAAACTACTGAAGAAGAAAATAAAGTTTAACAAAAATGGGGGGAGGAGAGATAATACATATACATCTGTTTATTTTTTTTAATTATCTTTTATTAAAAATTAAATTATTGGGTTCTATTTTGTTTATATACAATATTTGTTTATTATAAATATATTTTTGTTATGTTAAAAATATTTAGCCAAAAAACTGGAATGATTTTTTTCGGGGCTGGCACGAATTAATCACATTTCAATTAATCTCAATGGGGGAAAACTGATCTGAGGTACAAGAATTTTAACTTACAAGCTCGGTCAATGAACAAATTAAATTGGTATCCCAAAGTACCACAGTAGTTCCTTGATTCCTGGCAAAAGGAGCTAATACCAATCAAATATCAATCCTTGTTGTAAATTAAATCAAAAAAACTTATGTGTACACCACATGACTTCCCTGCATTTCATTTAAACGTATTGGATTGAATTAAATCTACTTCGCTGACAGCGCATAAATCACAATAGAATAAATGTATTCTTTAAAATTCACTCTATTTGTTTACCATAGCAACAACTCTGGCGCTAGTACACACTCTCACTTAACAGTATTGTATTTCGTTCATATTATAACTCAGAATGCGCAAAATTTATATCATTTAAAGAATTATCTAATCGTTGCCACATGTTCTATTCAAATACTATAATAAAGCTACAACGATGTATAAAAAAAATTAAGCAAACAAAACAAAAAAGGAACAGTTTTTCACAGACGATTTAGTATTTCTCATTCAATTAATTCAGTTCTCACTTCGTGACAAGGCCAAAATACATAAAATCTCAAAATACCTGTATTAAAAATTACAAAGTAAATCTTAAACACTTATTTCCTCGGAAAAATTCCAGAAAAGATTAAGCATGATTTTAATCGCAATAATAAATGAAGGCGTTATCTTTGTTGTTGCGAAGCTAAGTTTCTCTAGATTGGCAACAAATCCACTATCCTGCTGTTTCAAATGTAAACAAGCAATGGCCGCCATCAAAAAAATTATTAGGCTTAGTGGCACTTAAACAACTTTAAAATTGTTGATAATTCTAAAAATATTGCATAGAGATTTACTAAAGGCATAAAAACCTTAACCGGAAGATAAGAACAACATAATTCAATCATTTTTAAAGCAAAAATGTACAATTTACAAACATATAAGAGTAAAGAAACTGAGATCATCGAACCGGGTAACAAAGTGATATATATATATAAATATATTTATACACGTTTGGTGCGGCTCATTTTGGTGGACAAAATATGAGGTGCACATCTGCATGTTATAGCAGTCCTACATTCAAAATTTCAACAATCTGAGGCTACTAGTTTTTGAGTTATGCAAGATATGTATGTACGTACGTTCATACATTCGTACAGACGTCACGAAAAATTCTCTTCAGAATTCATTTTAAAGCAGTTTTATAATTTTTTTGAAGGAAAAGAGTATTTTATTCTGTCCTTACGAACAGATATCACGCAACAACATCGTTAAATAGCATTTGATAGCGGTCAAAATGAATATTTTCGTTGAAACATGCAGCCTGAAACTTTTCGCTATTACAATACTTCCTTTTTACTTCGTACAAGGAAGTTAAAAAAAAAGGGGGGGACAAGAAATTATTTAAAAAAATCAATAGTTCAGTTTCCATTGTTGATTATCACAAAATATTGCACCTCAAAAAAAATTAAACAGAATAACTCACCATCATTAATGGTGCAAAAGTATAATTTTTTCTAATTTTTACGGAAGACAAATCAACATCTTTAATCCTTTTTTTAAGAACAGTTTCAGAAAAACTGTCAACAAGTTTCTGAAACATGGATACAGCAATTAAAGCCTTATACTAAGATTGTGCTACACTATCTTCCAGCTCTTCTTGAATCTCTGATATATGTAGGTTCTTCACTGTCATTCACATCAATAATCTCTTTATCAATATAAAGCATATCAATACAAAAACTTCAGTACGTCAAAACAGCATCAAGGCATATATTGATAGCTTGTTAGTCAGGCAACAGATGATCAGTCAACCTATTGAAACGTAAAGGGTTTTCCAATTTCAAAAATATAAATAAATATATAAAAGTTTGAAAATTAACTTTTTCCTCATCTTCTCTTGTATCTTTAAAAAATTACTATATTAGTAAATTTTCACAAAATTGAACCTTCTTCATATGATGGGATTAGGTTTCTTACGTGGGAAGATTTCATAAGCTGGGATTTCTCAGTGTGAAAAATTAGCGAATATTGTATCAGGTTTATTTCCCAATTTTAAAAATCTCCATGTGTACATCACAACTTTGTACGAAATATTAAAATTTATGCATTTTCCGTATTTCATTTAAACTTATTTCCTCAAATTTTATTAGAGATATATTTCTCAATTAATTCAGCTCTCATTTCTCAGCAAGGCAAAAATACACAAAAACTAAAAATATCTTCATTAACCCGCGAGGACGCATGTTGGGCTCCATAGGCCCGAAACGTTATTTTTTAACAAAACAAAAATAAAATTGCTTGTTTAATTGATTAGAAACATTTAAATAATAAAAACAGAGTGCATAAAATATAAAAATATACTTTGAATTTAATTCTAAAAAAATTGTATTTTAATACACTTTTAAGATTGAAATTATTTATCATTAACAGAAAAAATCAGACTGATTTCTTTTTGAGAGCAAACGAAATTTAATACTAATTTATGTAATATTAAATTTTTACAGAAATATTTTTCAAAAAAAACTTACATTTCACATTTTTTTTGCAAAAAATCGCGCTGTGTTTACCGCACAACATTTTCTCTCACTTAGCGCAGCAAATTTGTGGTTTTCGGTCCTTTACGCTATTACATATATGGCATCTTTCCCTAGAACACTCCTGTTTTTTTGGCGAGTGTCCTTCCCAATTTTCCATATACTCTGCAATTTCATTTTTCACTCAATTCGCGTGGAAATTTTGCTGCGAGCTTCTTTCTTGAATGTGATCCTTGAAAAGTTCTAATGCAAATTCTTTGATAAATAAACTTCGTTTTCTATATTGCACTACTGGCGTCCTCGAAGATAACAATAATATTCTAGTATTCATAGCTGCAATGTTGAACATACTAAAGAATACTGCCATTGGTCATCTGTTGCTAATTCTAGCAGTACTATAAGTGAATGACATTATCTACTACATCTATAGCCACCTTTGTTAAATCATTAAAAGTCATAATTTCTGTTTTTTTTGCTTCTCCAGTCGAAACATCGATGGCTCTGTCATTATGCATGGTGGACAATAGAACAACGCATTTATTTTTGTTGGTGTGTAGGAAACTAATGTCATATTTCTTTGAAATCCAAATAATGATGATCAAACTTCTCTTTTTCTGCCACAAGTAAAATATATTGGCAGTTCTTTTTTATTTTTTCTGATAGTTCCCACGAGCGTAATTTTCTTTTCAAGGTGATTCTTTACCAAGGTATAACTGGTAAACCAGTTGTACACACGGTAAGGTTGCGCCCTGGATTCAAAATAGGCTCTCTAAACCTCTTGACTACTTTATCAAGACCATTTTCTGAGCTGCACGACCGTTTGGGTTGTGTTCCTGCATGAATTTCAAGATTTGAAGTACAAAATGTCCTTGCATCAAAAGCAAAAACTTTAATTCCAATATTTTGCAGGTTTACTTGGAATGTATTGAAGAAAGGAGCATCTTCTTATAAAAGGTCCTAATTTTTCGTCAGTTGTGATGTATTCGCCAGCATTTTTATTTTTAACGAACTTTTCAAAATCATTTCTTACCGGAGCCAGTTTATCCATTTCTCTTCTAGAAGGACGATCTCTTAGGTCATCAAATCCCAAACATCTCATTAGGATTAAAAAAACGTTTATGAGACACTGTTCGATGAAAAATGTCAAGCCCTGTCCCGTCAGTCGCCCAAACTTCGCAACATTTACGTGAGAAGCCTTCTATTTTAAAACAAAATTCTCCAAAAAAGAAGACCAATAAATGCTCTGATTTCTGTAATATTTGTGGGTCGAGCATCTCTCTTCCAAATTTGATGGCAATGGATTCAATGTAAATGTTCGAAAAATCTACTAGAATTTTTACTATGATTTTATCCAGAAGCAGTTGTCAAGAATTCATAGGACAAATTTTGCTTCACCAACAGTTCCGGGCAATTCTGTCACGAAGTTGAGAGCACGAGTTCTCACAGCCAATATTGGTTCTTTTTTTATTCCCTTTTGTGACTTTATCTTTGTCAAGATAACAATTCACGGACACTGAAATACTTGATTCAATACTAGAATCATCGCTTGAATCTAATTCCTCTTCAGAATTCAATTGGTGATCACTAAACTGTTCTTCATCAAGTATTTCCTTGTCGTCTTCATTAACTGAATCTTCATCAGTCGACTCAAATAGCGAGACATTTTTGCAGCTGCCTCATCTCTTTCACAATTCTAAATGACAATGCGAGCGTGCGTCTTGGGCCTGGGAAGCCTGGCTACCCAGTTTCTGAGAAAAGAGGGAGGGATAAATTCCGGAAATGCTTGTGAATGACACATACATGACCTTGAATGCAGCTACTGAGAACGTCGAAAAATTTCACAAAAGAGAGAAATTTTTTTATTATGTTTTTGTAACGACCGAGCCTGCGAGGCCCGATGCCCGTAGTCGCGGGTTAAATATTGAAAGATATAGAAAAACATAAAACACCAAATACAGTTAAAACAATTTTTACAATTAAAATCCCACTTTCTATGCAAAATCAAGCAGCCAGCAGGCAAGAAGGCAGATTTTTCGGTACACAAAACTAAGAGTTTTGTTTTGGTCTCACTTGGGAAAAAGACACTGAAGGTGCAAAAAACTTAATTCACTATTGCTTCAAATTTAAAGAAATATGGCTGCTTGGTTTAAAAAAAAAAAAAAAAAAAATTCTCAGACACATTTAAGCAGCTTTTAAATTGTTGATAATTTTACAAATATTGTTTCCAGATTTCCTAAAGGCATAAAAAACTTAACCAGAACATAAGAACAACATAATTCAATCATTTTTAAAGCAAAAAATGCACAATTTACAAACAAATAAGAGTAAAGAAACTGAGATCACTGAGTCGGGTAACAGAGTGGATATATATATAAATATATTTACATACGTTTGGTGCGGCCGATTGCAACCAAAATACGAGGTGCACATCTACATGTTATAGCAGTTCTATATTCAAAATTTCAATGTTCTGAGGCTACTCGTTTTTGAGTTATGCGAGATACATACGTGCATACGCATGGAAACTATGAAAAATTCTCTTTAGAATTCATTTTAAATCAGTTTTATAATTTTTTTGGAGGAAAAGAGTCCTTTATTCTGCCCTTACGTAGAGATGTCATGCAAAAACATCGTTAAATTACATTCGATAGCGGTCAAAATGGATATTTTCGTTGAAATATGCTGCCTGAAAATTTCGTAATTAAAATACTTCCTTTTTACTTCGTACAAGGATGTAAAACGAGAGACAACCATACACTAATGAAAATTATTACTTTCAAAGTATGTCTTTTGTTAATCTGCACATCAATTTAGAAGACATTCCCACATCTGGAAGAAGACCTTGGATTCATTTTCGGAAATACGATTTAGAAATACTTTTACAGCTATTTAGATATCAGTTGTATTAAGAAATTTCTGCTGCTTTAATATAGTTTTTAATTTTGGAAATAGCCAGAAATTACTCAGTTAGTTGGGGGGGGGAAGAATGATCTCATTGAGCAGGTGTGTTTTAGCCAGAACACTCTTCTAAAGAAAAGTACAGTGATTAAATGTATACGATACCTACAATTCAGGGAAATCTGGAATCATGAAGAATTCAGTTAATATTAGCCTACGTTTTCCTTCATTAATTTGCCATTTCTCAGCTATCACTCTCACACTGAAGCACTTTTTACACCATACCCCATCTCATATTATGTTAATAAATGCATTTGTTATTATTTACAAGTTCAGCCACAGACCAGTTCAAATGTGAATTCACATGTTTTCAATAAAATTACATCGCAGACACTATATGCATATATGAATATTCAGGAGACATTACATAGACATCTACATCTCATAGCAGACAGAATTTAATAAGTCCAATCTGAAAAAAATCTAAGTTCACGGGTAAATAATTTTCCAATAATAAATTGCTGTTGAAAAATTATCATGATGTTCTTCATTCAAATTTTATATTACTTACACGAAGATAATTTGGAAAACTTTCATCCAAATGAGTTTTTTTCTTTGGCTTCCGCTTACGTTTAGGTTTGTCAGTTCCAGCAAATTCATTATTTTCAGTTATCATGGGAGATTCACCTTGAAATGGAGACTCACATGGCTGTCCAACTATTTCACCTGTACAAGAAGATTAATGCTTTCATACAGATATTTACTTAATTACAAAAATATGCATCAAAGAATTTTCCAAAATAAGTATAACATCAAAAGAAAAATATTAATCTTTTAATAATAATTATGGGGAAAATATCAAGGGAAGAGGAAAGATATTTAATTTCTTAAATGACATTACAAGATGTTATTAAAAAGTTTCAAGACTAGCTCTGTTTACAAAAAAGTACTTTATTTATCTATGTTTACACGCTATTACTTTCAAAATAGTCACCTTGTTACAGCAATACAGTGCTCCCAGTGTTTCTGACACTGCTGAAAATTGTCCTGGAAGTCTTGTTTTCGAAATATCAAGCAATTCTGGAATTTAAGTTGGATCTCTGGAATGATGTCAAAACGGGAGCCTTTCAGCTGGATCTTCAGCTTTGAAAAAATAGCGATGTCCGCGGGAGCCACATCTGGCACATAGTGTGGGTGCGGAAGTGTAAGCATCCCGTTTCTGGTAAGAAACTCATGTGTTAGAAGAGGATGGCAACAGGAGCAGCCAGTTTTTCATGCATAATAGACCCAGTTGCTTTCGCCAAATGTCTTCCCTCAGACACCTTAAAACCTGACAGAAGAATTCACTATTCACAGTCTAGACCCTTGGGATGAATTCTTGATGAACAATGCCATGATGTTAAAAAAGGCAATGAACATGTACTTCATCAAACACTGGACTTGCCTCGTCTTTTCTGTCATAGAGGGTTCTTCCCTTATGTTTTGTCTCAGATCGTACCCATACACCCAAGTTTCCTTGGTGATAACTGTGGCAGATTTGCCCAGTTTCACACAGAATTTCACATCTGTTCATTGTTCTAACTTGCTGTCCATGATGAAAATGCACACGTGATAACATACATGATCAGAATAACATCAGACGCACAGCTCAGGACGATATCTCACAGCACACACAGACTTACGTAAGTCAGTGCATGCAGCATTGCACTGCCATCTATTACTGTGTTACAGAACTAGTCTTGAAACCTTTTGATACTACCTCATGTTAAAATGTCTGAAAGTTTCTTACCTTGGTCAGGAGCTGATTCTTTTGCAGAAGAACAACGACCTCGTGGTTTTACAATGAATCCACCAATACCTTAAAAAAGATAAATTAATGCACTTCATACTTAAAATGATATTCTGTGGATTTCTAATATTATTATTAATATTTTTATCTAGATATAAAAAAAATATCAGTTGACATGCATCATCTTTTCTTTTTTTTAATATAAAATTTAGGCAACATGAAAAATTAATTCAATATTACCCATCATTCTTACCACACCTTCTTTCTCTTCCTAAAATTAACAGCCAAAACACTTAACCATAAACTACTGACATAAAGCAGAGGAATTAAGCTCTTTGCAAGTATGAAACAGAAGCAGAAGAAATTTATGCAATTACTTCTAAATTTAAAACAAAAACAAAAAAATATTAGGGGGCGAGTGAACATTTAATTCTACTTACCCAGTTTTTGTAGCTTCCTTGGCCTTTTCTTTTTTTCACCTGCACAATCCATATCTTTTGAAGTGGATGATTCCAATTTCCCTTCATCAAAATCATAGGCCTTAAGAGCAAGTTCATCCACACTTGCTGATTCCATTTTATTCTCCTCATTACCTAATTCAAATATAAATGTATCTTCAAAAAGAGTGTACTTATGTTAGCACATAATATTAACTGTTGCATGTATAGGGGCTCATAATAGATTGAATAAACACAGGTTCAATGATAATTTGAGAGTATTTTATCAAACGTAACACATAGAATTCTGGAACTTTTTACAGAAATACTCGTACAGGTGTTCACAGTATCACAGAGTACAATCAATAGTTACACTTCAAATTAGTAAGAATGTTAAATGCAATGCAAAGTCCATCCAAAAGACAAAGCTTTCATGAGTATCTTAATATCCCGAAGTCGTCTTGAAATATCAACTCAAAACAACTGAAGGGAGATGCTCTCGGTGGCCGGATGAAAACTATATAAGGCCTATTTCTAATATTTTCTGCTTCTCAAAATTAGTGGAAGGAATATGAGGCTGTTACAGCTATATATAAAATCAATTACTGTTATTCAGTTACAATACTTATTATGGTGATACAGGAACCGGACCAAAATAAAACCAAGTTTAGAGACTTTGGACAATTTCTCACCAAATTTGGCGACAAAAATTAGTATCAAATACTGTTTCCAGGTTAGTGATATCTCGCCACATTGGCAAGACAGCCATTTACTCAATGTTAAATAGACTTGCCCCTGTTTCTTATTTTTCTGGCAGAGCTTCCTCACTCTGGATATTCATGTTATGTTACACATATAAATACAATTTCACATATTACTGCAGTAAAATCATCTCTCTATGTGCAAAATTCGTAACAATGCATTCAAATCCACAAATATTTATAACTGAAAATAAGCACAAAAACGCACAGATCTGATGCTAAAACTAAAATTGTTAGTTCTGTGAGAAGACTCAAGAAAATATTCATTATAGATATAATTTAAAAGAAAGAAAATTATTTGTATTAAAAATAAGATAAATATTTCAAAATAAAAAATGAAAAAAATACAGACTTCAGTTGCCAAACCCATGTACTACAATGAGGTAATAAAGTGACATGTTAGCACATATATACATACATATATATACATGAATTTTAACTTTTATATTTTATATAAATATTTGTGTTTATTTGTAGGTTTTTGTACTTTATTGTATATTTGTTGCTTTATATTTTATTTCTTAATTTAGTGTATTTATTAAGTATTTCACATAATTTATGAAAAGATATGCTAGTGACACCTGCATCCTAAATAACAAACATTGGTGCTTACATAAATACACTTTACAAAGAAACATAGCTTATATTATGTGCAAATAAGTGCAAACCAAAAAAAGATCTGAAAATGTCCTTCCAAAAATATCTAAACACAATACTTCACATTAAAAAAATTCCTCTAGAGCAGGGATTGTCAACCAGTGGGAAATTCCCCCTTAGAGTTTTTAGTCTTAATTTATGTATATAAAAAATTAGTAATATATCTTAAAATTCATTCACATTTTGGTATTCATCAACAATTTCTACACTCTTTTTTCTTTAACTTATAAAACACGGTAAAAAATTATCTAAATTCAAATAAGTCAATACCTACATTTTTCAAATACATGCCTACATAACACATTTTTCAAATTTTGGAAAGGAGGGGGAATGATCATCTAGCACTGGTGAAAGGAATGCATAGGACAAAAATGACGGGAACCACTGATCTACAGCATGTCCTCATTAACTCTTTAAATATCAAGGTTTTTATACCAATATTGAGAGAAGAACCCCCTTCCCCCCCAAAAAAAACTGCATAGTTACAAAAATAAATCATTTATTTCAAAGGGACCACAGGGCACCAATGGTACTCCTCTCATTGAAGCCATGTTGTAAACTAGCTAATAACACTGGAATATAATGGAAATAAAAGCACAATACATTTGAATTTATTATTATTTTTATTACCGGCAACAGATGTTGAATCTTCATTTTTCTCCAGCTGTTGAAGTGATACTGATTTCATAGCATCCTGAGAGGATATCAATCCTAACAGACCTTGCTTCAGTTTTCGAGGTCTTGGCAATTTCTTTGGTAGATCTGGAACTAAAGACTTGATGTACTGCATCCCACTCTCGGACAAACAGACGCCATCAAAATAATATTGTACTGGATGTTTGGTCTTGACAACTGGAGGCTCTAAAGGTAGCATTAAATATTATCATTTTTAAGCAATAGTATGTATCTAATTCTCATGAAAAATTATTATGAAATTTAAGGGGGGGGAAGAATACAAGAGTAAAATCAATTATGAAAAAATTCAAGTACTTTCTGATAACGGGGCACCAGACACTAAATGTGCCCCAAAGCACCAAATGCCATAGCCTATTCATATCGCGTCAAGAATAGTTGTGTAATATTTAACGTATGCAATGCAAAAGCTATGCACAAGACCAAATCTATTTAACCCATCGATTTTTTTTAATCAAAAACAGACAGCTGTGTTCAGGGAAAGAATAACAATTTCATTCTCCACATGTACCAAGCAATCTGTTTTTGTTCAAAAAAGTCACAGAGCTACACAAATTCAACATCATGCACAACCTTAGAACTGCACTCATAAAAAAATTATATATAAAGGATGTTTCATACTGAATGGGATAAAAAAAACAGCATAGTACAAATTCTGTAATTGATTTATTGAGGCAAAACAAATTAATTCTGAAACAACAATTACACAAATTTTATCTGGCTACAACAAAAAATCTTCCATTTACAAAATCTTAGCTAGAGGCACTGTTAATAGTGGCATCATCCATGCAGAAGAAAGCGTACTGTGTTTTGGATTATGGCAAAACATCATCATTTATAAGACATTTTCACATGAAATTCAGTAAAGAACCACTGCATGGTACAACATCAAACAGTCAGCAAAGCAGTTTCATGACACTAGCTGATGGTGTCGAATACCAGCCCAGGACTAACAGTAACCAAAATTAAAGTGGTTGGAAAATTTTGTGAAATATTTATTAAAATCAGTTACAGTTCTAAAACTATGTTATTTTATTCAGTTTTCTAGACCACATTAAAATTATCACATTAAAGCATTTATACATTGTTCTTTAATAACATAACACGATCATTAGAATCATTACCTGATCTCTCAGATTGTTTTAATAAATCATTTTTGGAATCTGCATCATATAAATCAGAATCAAATATATCATGACAGCAATCTTAAAGAATTTTCCTTTTGCCAACTACACTAAACAATGTGATCAAATGACCGATAATTGATCTAGCAACTTAAAAGTGTGAAATTTTAAGATGTTCACTAAGTTTAAGATAGAAGTTATTTTTAAAATGAAATCTAATCTTCATATTCAGATTTTAGTTAGAAAACTGAAATAATTTTAAGCTAACGAGTTATAATGTGCATAATAGTTTAAGAATTGATCCCCTGAGTTCATCTTGAATAATTTATATTTAAATTATACATTTATCTACATATTTGAAATAAACAGCAAAATAGTAATGATACAATGGAGGGAAAAATTCTTATGATAAATGCTAGGACATTGTTATTTTTATGATGATATAACCATAAAACAGTGCCATGTGAAGATAGCTGTATTTATTTAATAAAGAAGAAAATTACTTGAGCTGTAGCAGTACTTACAGTCAAAAGTCATTAATTCTAACACCCATAATCCGGACTACAAACTTCCTGCGCATGCGTCACGTTAATGCATGCGCGTAAGACCTTTACAGCTGCGCATATGCGTGTGCGCAACCGCATAATACATTTACGCATGCACTTTTAATGTATAACGGACAGTATAAGAGCAATTTTATAAAAGTAAGCTTGAACTTTAGAATATATCAAATATAATTTCCAATGCTGGAGCTTCCAAAGGATCTAAAGCGAAAGTACGTTTCGATGTCCATCAAACAAAAAGTGGAATTGATGCAAAAAATAGATAGAGGCATGAAGAAAGTGACAGAGAGGTTAGTGAAAATGAAAAAATTTCGATTGGCAAGTTAGTCGGTATTCTCGCGCAGCAATTACAGGACTTGAACAGTGGAACTTTGTAACTGAACAAGAAATTATGTCTGTTTATATAGAATTGAAGAGAAAGTATTAGCACACAAAACAAAGCAACTTAAACAACTTACATTGGAAGAAACGTTTAATAAAGTAAACAAATAAATATTAAGCTTTTTTTTTGTGTGTGTGTGTAAATTTTGATACCCTTTAGATCATAATTGTTCTTTATTTCATAAATTACGGTTTCATATTTTTAATTTTATAATTTCTGCATGCCATCTTACCAGATTTAAACTGATGATCTATAATCCGGAATTACTGAAGTCCCGACGAGTCCGCATTAACGACTTTTGACTGTATTTACTATTATTTGCACATGAGGCTTGCAGCAAGTATTTTCCATACATGAGCAATAAAAAATTCTATCTTGTCCGGATATACGATCTGTATTGTCCATCCCTGTGATGGGGTGTCCAGCAAGAAACATCCGGTCTTTAATAGGGGATATGATCTCCCCTGACTGCTAGGCAGGTTTCACAGCATCTGCCCATGCTGAGAATGAGGGTGTCAATGAGTTGTTGAGGCATTGCTGCCCATTCGTCTTGCAGCACCAATCGAAGCTCCGGAATTGTTACTGATGATCTATAATGCGGAATTGCTGAAGTCCTGACGAGTCCGGATTAACGACTTTTGACTTTATTTACTATTATTTGCACATGAGGCTTGCAGCAACTATTTTCCATACATGAGCAACAAAAAATTCTATCTTGTCCGGATATACGATCTGTATTGCATAAGGTGTGAGCTGCCAAATTGGTCTTTCTGTCTGCTCTGCCTTCTTCGTTCAGCTGATATGCTAATTTTTTTACTTCGTCCTTAATTTTTGCACACCAGTGTATATGGGAATTTGAGAGATGTAAGAAACTACTACTTCTTGCAGCTTACAGAAAGCATGTTCTAAGCTATTACATATGCTAAAGTATTTTTTATACTAGTTCATAAAATCCAAAATAATTTAAGACAGATATTATTTCAATTTACTTGGTACCTTTCTGTACATCCAAAAAATCACACAAAAAATGTTACTACTAACTTGTAAAAGTCTATTAATTTGAATCTATTTGAACTACCTTGAAGAAAGTAGTACAAAAATTATCGAAGCTAGTACTGCAAAAAATGTTTAAAAATTTATGCTGATTCTTAATGTTGGACTTTGTTTTTTTATTGATATTCAGCATGATAATTAAACTAAATTAAGTCTATTAATTTTTTTAGATAATCATATTTTTACTTAGATTTTATAAAAGTACTTGAATCTGCTAATCTTAGTCCTTAAGAAAGAGTTATAAACAACCCAGAAACTATCAGCAGTTTATTTATTATGTCTCATTTCATTGATTTGATTTCATCGTATTGAAAACATGATATTGCTACAAAAATTTTTATTTGAATTATCTGCAGTCAAGTTAATCTGACAGTCAGAAGAACATCTTTTTGGCAACTGCTGTATTTGCGAATTTAGTTAAAACTAATTTACCTACATTATAGATCAGACAGTTGAGACTTTTAACGGATCACAAATAACAAACAGTCTATGTTTAATTGCAGCTCTGATGCATGACCTACATGCATTATTCAAATTACATCCATCTTCAGGCTTCTAAGATTTATCATTAAAAAATACTATTCTAAAAGAAATTCTACTTTTATGGAATTTAGTCGCTGGATACTTAACAGGATGTTAAAAGGTAGCTACAGTATTTACTTCTGTAAATAATAATCTCAGATATGAACTTTCTAATACAAAACTTCTCAAATCACAGCCGAAGATTTTAAGAAAACAATTTCAGCGCTGGAAGCTGCAATATAAAAAATGAAGAATAAAGATGCTACAAACATAAAACCTAATTTCTTTATGGGTTCCCTGAGAAATAAAAGTTGAAATTAACAAAATATTCATTATGCTTTAATAAATTAAAAAATTCCGTATCTTCAAGTACAAATTAGAAAAGATAAGCATAAATAATAGTTTCATGGGCCCAGTCGCAAATTTAATAAAAAGTGCTGTTTTACCCAATATGGTGTGTTGGTGTATTTAATTATGGCAAAGCACACTAGGGCTATCTGCCTAAGGGGAGGGATGCCTTTCGTGGAAGACTTTCTAAGGGAAACTGGCTCGTATACACGTTACACATGGGGAAAACCACGAAAACGCCCATGCAGCCAGCCCGTTCGCGGGATTCGAACCTCGGACCGAACTACCAGTGTTCAGCGTCTTTACCGCTCGGCCGCTAGTGGGCTTTACCCAATATGGAAGCATCAGATATCAAAACAGGCAACTTTTTTAGTTGCCTGCAATAAGTACAATGCTATCATTAGTCTGTTCCAGATCCTTGGATGTACATAACAATTGCAGTACTGGTATACCAAATACTGGTATTTCATGCTATTTTTCAATTTTATGAAGCCAGTATTTGTTATGTGTTTTCGGTATTCACTATGAATAAAAAAATATCTTTTTATTCAAGGGCTTAATTTAAGTTGTTAAAGTATTTAAAAATTCCCCAACTAAAAATCCGTTTTACAAAAATGTATACTTATTAAAATGAAAAAAAGAATTTATGCTGTTAGGTTCTAAAATACACTGGAATAATTTGCTCTTAATGATAAGAGGATTTTTCAAACTAAAAAATCCAATTCAGAAAAGTATTAATTGACTAAATTTTACAAATGAATATTTCCCATGGTGAATTTAATTTCAAAATCTAATATAGTACAATGTCCGAAACCCGGACTCGTTGGAACTTCGGCGGTTCCAGATTTGAGATTTTTCCCGGATACTAGATCCTCAGTTTAATTCTAGTAAGATGACATACAGAAATTATAAAATTAAAAATATGAAATCGTGATTTATGACATAATGAACATTTATGATTTAAAGGGTATCAAAATTTATAAAACAAAAAGCTTAAAATTTATTTGTTGACTTTACTATACATTTCTTTCAATGTAAGTTGTTCAGTTGCTTTTTTTATACTTTCTCTTTAATTCTGTAGACAGACATAATTTCTTATTCAGTTGCATTGTTGAAGTCCTGTAATTGCTCTGTTGAGATTTCCGACTAATTTGTCAATCAAAATTTTTTTTGTTTTCAGTATGCTCTCTGTCACTTTCTTCACTATCAGTAGCGGTATTTTCTGGATCTAGAATCATACTTCATATTTTGCCATCCATTAATTGACTGATGATTGAGGAGCATTGCAATCACAATGAAAAACTTCTTCTATATCATCTTCATTTATTACCGCTTCTCCACACTTCTTTATAAAATCCGTTAACTGGAAAAGTTCACCTTTGGATTTTCTAATTAAACTTCACTGGGTGTCACTGTAAACTGCAGTGATTTTGTTTTAACTGTAACTGGGAACAGTTGCTAGAAGATCTCAATTTTTTTATTTTAAAAAAATGAATTTTGCCTAAAGAGTTAAATAAATCCCATACCAGGCTCTTTGACCTTTGCAACAGGTGATTCATTTTTCTCTGGAACTGGTTCAATTTCAGGAGTTGGAGTTCTAGGAGGAGCTGAAAGACAAAAGTCGAGTTAACTATATAAATTCTAAATTTTATACTGTTTATTTTATATCAACACCAATAAAAAAAATCACTCATTACCAAAAGGAATCATTAAAACTGACACTAAATTAATAAATATAAATGCAGATATAATACAGATAATATATTCAGAATTTAACAGCTTATTTCTTATTATTTGCCCATTCATACGGAATTAGATAACAGTTATGAATAATAAAACTCTCTCCAACCAAGTAAAAATTGATTTATAGTAAATAAGTAAGTAAAAATGGACGTAAAGATTCTGACTAAAATTACATTCAGAAACAGACTATTCTGACAATTATATTCAGAGATAACATTATTAATCCTTACGAGATGGCATGCTTTTATTTAAGATGTTCTCTCGAGATGGAGGAGAGGCAAAAGGATAGCTCCCACAGGATGGGGGTTTTCCATCATTGAGGTTAACAAAATCTTTCACGTGAACTGGAAGGCAGGCACTCAGACAGCTCAATTGCTAACAAATGCCTGACTAGGAATATCATTTTAGAAAATGAATCATCACTTTCATCTATGTCATTAACTGGCTCATTTACTATGCAAGTATATACTTCCTCTGATAAATAATGCTTCCTCACCATAATAAACTAGAATCAAGGCTTTCAAAATAAAAAGGGGAGAATGCAAAATATATCTGAAAGCAACACAAAGTGTAATACAACTTCAACCAGAAACCCTAAAACACTCTACAAAGTAGCGGAAAAAGAATGGGGAAAAAAAAAAAAAAAGAAGAAGAAGAAGAAGAAGACTCGGAAGGATATTAGGAACGCGAGTGTTTATATCACCTGGCGAGTTAAAGAGAGAAGCCCTGTTTGTTTACATTATGCTTTCCTTTCTCCCCTGAGTGAGTCTTGTTTCTCTTATTTTGAGTAGAAGGTCAAATCTACATGTACCTCAAATCCTATTTACATGCAATCTTTAAAATGCTCCAAGACACTGACACAAATGTGTGATGACGAGGGGTGGACATGAAAACACTCTGGTACGATGGCATGCCGGCCAGGAAATAAGTGAGTTTCTTGCTGGCATGTATGCATGACAATCAACACAAAATGGGTGAACATGACACATTCTGAATAATACTACATTCAGAAATAATACTATTACACAAATTTTCTTTTCCCCCCTCTGTTTAAGAGATGAAATAAGTCTTTTCTTACCAAGTTTCATATACTGTGAATGAAAATTCAATATATTTTCTATTATTCACTCTTGTTTAGAATTTGCAAAAAACTTCATGTTACATTTTAAAACTCATTATCAATGTTTGCTCAAAAGATTAGCAAACAAATATAATGTAATCCTCAAAATATGCATATCCTTAAAAACAATAGCTTTCATACTATGAGGACTTGTACTTTCAGCTATGCTGATTTAAAAATGCATTAGTCATGCTTTTTATCATAGTGATGGGTTTACTAACATAAAGGAGCTCATAAAATAAATAATGTAAATAAGATAGAGTGGACCATCCCATAAAGTATAATATTCTTTTTTTCTTTGCATCTTAATTTTTCATGTTTCATGTTGATTTTACATGTTCTGGTCTGTGGGCGCACTATTTACCCCCCCTTGATTAAAATTACCTTTGTTAATCTTATTATATATCTAGCCACTTGACCGGATTATTTATCTAAAATAGTAATTACCAAAAAGAAAAAATATATTTAATGAGCCCAGCTACTGTAATTTCATGAAAAATATTTATCTTTTCTTATTCAGCACCTCATAATTTAATTTTTATTTTTATTTGCATCAATGAGATTATAAGCAGAGAAAATATTTTTTAGAACTGCATTTATAGCTTTATAATCACTTAGTTTGTTAAGCAATAACAGATTAAATTTTGAAGTTCAATACATTATGCATTACTGAATGCAATGCAATAAAAATAAAATTATTTTATTTCAGGCAATTATCATAAATACTACTACTGCTCTTATGTAGTCAAGTTTTTTTTTTTATTAAAACTGAAAAATATATATTTTATATTTTGCTGAATAGCAACAGTTTGGCATGGGATAGATAAAAATGTCTTGAGTTGTGTTGATACTACTCCCTTTCAAATTGCTAGATTTGTTAATCAAATATTCATCAAATTTCTACAAAGTATGAAATAAATAAAAACAAATTTTAAATTCAAAATTCGGGGTTTGAGGTACATATATCTGGGTGAAGAATTGCGTGTATTCAAATTCTGGTGGCTCTAGGTACTGCAGATTTTCCCACAATGCAAAAAACATACATATATGTGAGTGTCTTCTAAGATTCTTAAAAGGAAGAAACACAGTTTGTAGACACACAGATTGATTGATGATTATGTACAGTGGGTGCTGAAGATATTATAGGGTAGATGGAAAAAGTAGATGCAATCAACAACTGATGCCTGCACGTACATTTAGAGTCTATAACATCTGACACTACCTCATGCCACAAAAACTTGTTGCTAAATTAATTGAATTATTAGCAAGACTGAATTATTGGAGGTTATCTACATGCAACCTTCCATATTGCTCTTTCATGAGCATTCTTTCATTATGGCACTCTGCATCTCCTCAGCAGAGACTGACTGTGTTCCCAACAGGCATGGTCCCAGCAAGAAGGTGACGATGCCATCTTCTGGTGGGGATGGGAGGCATCCCACATGCATACATGCAGCTTCTTCAGTATTTAATAAAAGAAATTGAGCATACTTTCACAAATATTGCCATGTTAGTGATACATTGCCAGACATTCAACAGTACTCGCATAGATTGTGCTAGCTAACCAATGCAACATTTTTACATTATTTTTGTGCTAAGTACACCCAAATTAGTAAAGATTGTGCACTTTTAGTTATGAAACAAAATATGTAAATAATATAATTTATAAATTATTAACATCATTGATTTGTATGCAACTTTTACAAATTAATAAAGTTCAGGAATCAGAAATTTTATTCCCCAGATTAAAACGAAAAGCTTTGGTCTCCAAATGGCAATGTGGCCTTTGCTTATTTTCTTAATATGCAGTCAGAATTTTAAATTTAAGTATTCTGCTATCATTTAATATATCTGTTTTTTGCTTGTTCATATCTATGTATTGTTCAAACGTAAGTGTTTATTTCTGATTATCCATATAATAGTCAATGCATGCATTTTTGGATTTAAGAGAATTTCCATACCTTCCATATTTATTTGTCATTTTACCTTTAAACTGTAAATATTTGTCATGCAGTGATTTTTCCCCCCATAAAATGTTTCTTTTTATTATTATGCATAAAAAGAAAGTGCCTATGAGCTGAAAAGATGACCAAAGTTTTTCACTAATTCAGAAAAGTGGAAATCATAGTGGTGCAGATATCAGAAAATATTGAAATTTATTTCACATTTTTAATGTTAAACTTTTATTCTTGTGACATGTGCTGATTCTCATTTCATGACTTATGAATTTCGTCAATGATGAAATATTTGGATACTTTTTTCTAACGTTTCTCTTCCTTATATTTTGCTCGCATTCTAGAACATTTTATTAAATAATGTATGGTACTTTCTGACTATCTACAGTTCCTTGAAAAGCATTTTTGAGGCAAGCAACCCATCGCTGAAATGTAAGATTTATGTGACAACCCTGGTAAGTGCATGCAAGCAGCAAATCACAGTGTACTGAATTTCCACCTTCAAATCTGATGCTCACTAGTTATTGTCACATTGGGTGTATTCACCCCTCTCAGTTTTCTGGCTAATTAAAAGAAAAGAATTATCATTTTTTACATATACAGATCAGGATAAAAAATTTGCATTCCATGAAGACTTCACAAACGATCGAATTTTATGATCAAAATTTGAGCAATTCTCTGATTTTTTTCAAGTGAAAACATACTGCTGTGTACTTAGGAAGAACGATAGCAGAAAAAGAATACTACATAATATTTCTTTAGAAAATTCTGTGTTTTATTATGGATGCTACTAGTCTTTTTAATTTTACTGATTCATTGCTCTTTTATGAAACACTTAGCATGTCATCATTTTCAAAATCGTTGTTTCCTTTTCTGTATTAGCCTAACAAAAAATTAGTTGTCAGCTTGTTTCTGAGTTTTCAAAGAGGTGTGTGTGGATAATCAGAATGTACCAAATACAGACTTAAATTAATAAATGCATTTATTGTATTTAAACAATTCAGTTTTTCAAAGCAATGCAATCATCATTTGAAGGGGAAATTGAAGACCTTATATTCAGCAATAATGCTGCAGAAACCGGTTATTTGCTAAATCAGAGTTTCTTAAACTGTGGGCACTGACTCCAGTTGGAGTCACGAACCTGCAGTAGCGGGTCACTAAAAGTTTTAGCAATTTTGATACTTCTTATAATAATAAGTTTACAATTACCAAATATTTTTGCATAATGTATCTGAAAATAGATAAAAACAAGACACTACAAATGAAAAAGAAAAATGAAAACGTTTCGACGCATTCTTTTACAATAAAAATGCTCATTTTACTTTAAAATTAATTACCTAAAACTGCAATAGTATTGTAGGGTTCCTCACTTCTTTTAGCTATGAGAATCGAGGAACCTAATGAACTATGTATCAATTTATCGCTCAGTTCAAACGACTACTAAAGACGTAGACTCAAGAAGGGTTAAAATACCCTTTATTTCACTCAAATAAAAATAACAGTCGGCCCCTTCTCAGAGTTACAAGAAGCTTCTACTCAGGCTTTAACTCAGAATAAGAAATAAGAAACTAAACAATAATTAACTAAAGGAGACTTAGCCGAAGCTAGACACAATTATCTAACATTGTTGGCCCTTAAATTAAACAAGCCAGTGAATATCAACAGCCACATAATATACAGCCAAGCATAACAGCTTCAAGACTGACTTAGCTGGAAGGCAGACACGTGCAACTAAGGATTCCTAGCACTCTCTATCAAAGTAAGTTGAACCTTAAATACTTCTTGTAACTCATTTGCATTCAAAGCGATTCCAAAAACTCATTCTGGTAGGGAGTTGTAAGTGGAAATAAGGAATTGATAGGAAAGGGCTTTGAAATTAAAATTTACCTCCCAGTATATTACAGTACAAGTGAAGAAACTGACAGTTTAACTCATGTATGTGTCAGATTTGTGAAATACTTATGGGGCCCCACAAAATTTGTGTAAATATTATGTGGTCCCCACACCAAAAAGTTTATGAGCAGAAGAATTAAAAACCTTGTCCTTCCCACAATGCCCACTTCTACAAAATCATTAAAAAAAAAAAAAAAAAAGAGTCTTAAAAAAAAAAACCGGAAAAATTTTTCTAATGGTATTTACATATAATATATATAAATCAAATTAATGAAATAGAATTTCAATTTGAAGTTAACATAATTCCTATATACATATACATATAAAGAATTTTCACTGCATGAATAATGTTTAGATAGAGAACATAATGTTGGAAATATAAGCAAATAATCTATGAAAATGCATTAAATTACATACAACCACAAACTTTAGACATAAAACACGGTATTTTCAAATTAAAAAGATGGTCATCAGAAAAACTCACGCAACAGATGTGGAGGTAACTCATCTGGAGGTCTGCAATGTGGACAAGTATAACCATACTCTGCACACTTCTCAGCTTGATCTTCAGTATCAATTTGATCACACATTCCATGCAACCACCTGAGACAAAAATATTTTATTACATTATTAAGGGTAATTCCTCACCATTATCAATAAGAAACTTTCGCCAAATTTCAGAAGGTTTTATTTAATAAGACACACTGACAACATTTTATTCTAGCACTTCTCTCTCAAAAAAAAGACTCAAAATAATTTTCAGCTCTTAGGGGACCTTAAATAAAAACTTACAATAACTGTAATTTATGGTGTGTTGATAAGATCAATTAAACTGTCAACTTAAGAACTTTAAAAAAAAAATAAAATATTTCAAACAAGGAACACTTTGTACAGATTCTTCTCAAGTGATAAGCTAGTAATCTACATTTTATGCCTTCTTTTCTCCACAGAAAACCTTAATATATATCATTGAATAACTATTTGTTTATGGAGTGGATTATTTGATTATGGCATTACACTCCATATGATAAAAGGGAAATTGCCTCATACTTGCATTACACATAATTAACACCACAAAAACTCAGTCCATTCAATTAATAGTAATAGATCCCAGAGACAAACTACTATTATTCTGTGGTTTTAAATGATCCCCACATTGGTCGACAATGAAGTGTGTAGTATGTAAAAATAGTTTCCCCTGCTTTAAATCTTCAAATAAGCAACTAATTTGAAGGGAATAAGAACATAATTAAGCTTACCTTCCCTTTCTTAACATTAGTTTTTATGTTTTACATGTATTTTAAAAACAAGGATTTTCAAATGACGGAGGATTCTCCCGGGTGATATTCCTTTGATTAGGTGGTTAACTTCAAATTAATAAATTCAAATTACAGCAAGAAAGCTTGCAGCAAAGAACAGCAAAGTTGACATTGAAATTACAAGAAACAGAATGGCAGAAAAAAGTTAAATTTAGAAACCAATTACGGTCAAATCTACAGCAATGACTCTTTAATTATATTTATTAAATACAACAGTAATTTCTATATTAATTTATAAATTAATAAATACAGAGACAAATATCCTTACATGTTTGATAAATTTAGAACATTATTTAGGTTAAAAGTGCAAATTTAAGCCAGCGGGCATCAAAGTTACCACAGTGTATATCTGACAATATTTGACATTCATTAACAAGCTGTTCTATATCACATTTTCATTAGTTTATCTACTGATTAGCAAAACAAAAATTAACTTTTTCAGTTGAAAAGTATTATGTGTATATCTATGTTATTTTGCTTTAGTTTTTTTTTTTTTTTTTTTTTTTTTTTTTTTAATTTGGTAAATGTGACTTTCATTTTTTCATTTTTTGTCCATTATTAATTCAAATAAACATAAATTATTTGCATCAACACGAAAACATGTAAAAGCCCTGCACTGAGTTAATGAGCATACAAAGTAAAAGAGTAAAAGTGCTAGTGCAGCTTCAAATAAATAGTTGCATGGATGAAGCTTAGAGCAAACGTAAGGCATACTGCATACAGTACCAGATGATGCCCAACTATAATTTACGTAAGAAGATAAACAGTTCTCATTATTCTACTGGTACAGGTATTCATAAATGTACATACGGTTTTAAAGGATTGGGCACACTGAGATATGCTATTAGGTATGTAAAAAAAATCTTAAAAAATTACTTTTATAATATACACTATCAGGCCAAAAGTATTCGGACACACAGTGGTACGAACTCAGAGAGTCCCAAGGCATATATTAATATGATGTTGGTCCCTCTCTTTGCATAAATGAGAGCCTGCACATGTTTGGAGAAACTTTCCATCAGTTTTTGATAGATGAAAACAGAAAATGACTTCAACACATCCATCACAGCTGAAGTAAGTATAATCGATTTGGCTGGCTACATAATCTGCATTTCAATTAATCCCAAAAATGTTCTGTGGGATTTAGATCAGGGGTCTCAGAAGGCCAGCCCATTTCATCAAACCATGGCTGGGCAAGTCTCGATGTGTGAATAGAGCAGTTATCCTGCTGACAGAGAAATGAGCCTTCCCTGAAATATTGCCACAGAGTTGGGAGAGCAGCATTGTCCAGAATGTCCCCATACAACTCAGAGTTTGTGTTTCTAACCACAGGAACTAAAGGATCCAGGCCAAACCATGAAAAACACCCCCAAACCATGATACTGCCACCACCAAACTTTACAGTCAGCACAATGCCATCACTTAAGAAGTGCTCACTAGGCATTCGTCAAACCCAGAAGTGTCCATCTGACTGCCAGATTGTAAAATGAGATTCATCACTCCATAGAACAATTTTCCACAGTCCAATGATGGTGAGCTTTGCACCATTCCAGTTGATGCTTCACATTCTGGGAAGTGAAATTCCGCTTGTCAGAGGCTGCATGGCTATGGAATTCCAGGTTTTTTTTAACTCTCGACAAACAGTCCTGCTGCTAGTACTAACACCTGACAAACTTTGGAACTCCCAAGTGATTTCAAACAATGAGGACTTGCAATTTTGTTTCACTACCCTTTTCGGAGTTCTACAGCTGTGTTGACTAATTTTCTTCAGCCTTTGTTTTTCTGCAGTTTTACTGTCTCAATGTTTCCACTTCATATTTGCATCACTCACAGAAAATTTTGGCTTCTGTAGCATGTCCAAAATTTCATGAATTGATTTCCCACCATACTAGCATGATCAAAGTCACTAAACTCCTTTGACTTACTCACTGTCTCACAAATGCATAAATATAATCTGACAAACCACCAGTAACACATTTTAGCTTTCAGTTATGCATCAAATTATGTCACCTTCCAGATCCACTTCTTTAAGGGGGGTGTCTGGATACTTTTGGCCAGATATTGTATATGTTACCGTGAGACCGAAATTGGAGAATGTCGACTTTTACGGGAGAATGTCAACATTCACCAAATACGCCGGTGAAAGATCGAATATTGCATTACATTCTTGTACATTCGGACCCTCACCGGTGTATGTCGACAATCACAGATATGCTCTGGTGTTGGTCGAAAAGAGAAGTCACAAAGTGTCATAATTGTTTAAGTTGTTGCAATAAATAAGATTTGAATCAGATAATTTAGTGAGTTTTTATTGCTGTTATTTTATTTTCTCATTTAGAATGTACTGTATAATTAAGTAAGTTTTCAACTTCTATTATATTTTCCTTTCTTATTTTGAATGTATTGTGTGTTTTAGGTTCTTATGTTCTTAAGTTCTTATTTCAAGTCTCAAGTGCGTTTATTCGCGACTGAATTACGGAGAAGAAAATATAATATCGTTATCTGTTCAACCTTCACCATGGTGAATGTCGACATTGACCGGTGTAAGTCAGAAATAAGAGTATTTGGAAAGTATTTCGGACATACACCAAGCGACTATGTGAATGTTGACATTCACCGGTGAAAGTCGACATTCTCCAAATTTCGGTGTTTCACCGTAACATATATATAGTACATTATAAAAGTAAGAGATGCACAACAATTACCTTTCACATCTTTGGCACTGGATGATTAATTCATTCTCTTCATATTCTTGCTGGCACAAACAACAAACAACAAAGCTAGCACATGGTCCACAAAGAGTGTAGTTCTCTTGCCAGACACAGTTAATGCCAGCTGACTTGGAACCACATTTGATACACATAACACACCTTTAAGAAAAATAAAAATTTACTTCATATAAGATAATTAACTAAAAACAAACAAAAACATTATGATTAGACAATGCACAAACTATTGGCTATAATGTGAAACACATGCCATAAGAAACATCTTTTATTTATTAATAATGATGCATATTCCAAAAAAAATTACAATCAGAAATATTTTTAAAAAAATTATTCACAGCAATTTGAATACAGCTTCTAACAATCTAAACAATATAAAATAATCAGCTTAAAAAAAATTCCTTAAATGATGTTCTATTCAGTATACTGGGGTACGCAATTAATGGTACTAATAAAAACAACTTTTTAATAATTCCATAATTCCAATATTAGTGAAAATTTTTATAAAAATTATTAATCAGATTTATAACATCAGGGAAGAAAGAAGTGATGCTTTGAAAAATAAATCTATTTTCAGATATTGAAAAGATAGCGAATTCTAATTTTCTACACGCATGTGGCTAGTTAAGGCTCAAAGCTTCCAGCTAGTTTCAAAACTAATCATGTGGTGAATATTAAGTTTTTTCCAGCCAAGCCTTTATGTGACAAGGTCAGGCATTCCATTGTGTACCAGTATAAAAAAGCACAAACCCCAAATAAAGAGGACTTTCGCTTCTGGTGATTACTGAACACCTCGTTGAAATTAGTTGCCGGCAAGCAGCACTGTATGCTGTTTGCCGGGAAGCATACAGTGCTGCTTACGCAATACAGTGTTAAAAATGTTTCTTTGATGATTTTCATTGTTAATAGTTTCCATTATATTTTAATGCAGAAATAAAGTTTTTATGCTTTTACTACACAGGCCTGATTTTCATGATAATCTGTTATATTACAATATGATGCAGATTTGAAATTATGGCCAACCATCTTAGATGAGAGCAAATATAGATATAATTCCGAATGGATATCTGGTATGTTTTTCAATACAATGGCAACTATTAAGCTCTTTCAATTACTCACTCTAACATTATAAAAGGAGAACCTGAGACAATTTAGTCCTGAAAAAAGGGGGGGAAAGTATCGAAAACACTGATGGGGTGACTTGTGCGGATCCATGATTAAATTTCTCTTTGCTCAATAAAATGGATATAGTACATTTAAACTCAATTTACATGTTTTTCTATACGTTTCAGAAAGTATGGTGAAAACTGATTCTAGATTTGAAAACAGAGACCTTTGACAAAAAATATGGTAGTTGTACACAAAATGTGACTGAGAAACAAAATGATTCAGCATCATTACATATCAGACTTGGGTTGATGAAATAATCTGTGATAATTGTGAATAATGCAATTAATTACTTCAGTTATTCTTTGAGTAAATTCCATGACAGGAGAGTAAAAACCTGACAGAATATTTTTTTTTATATTCCTTATATAATACAATTGACAAGAAATTCACACTTCATGAATTCAACAAAAATTATTAAGACCTTATTATCTTAGTTGACAAAAAACTCCTTGGTAAACAAAATTAAATATGCTCTCAAATTTTATTATGCTTAGAACCACAGAAAATGCTTTCTAAATGCTTTTATGATTTCAGTAAAAAATAAGGAAAACAATTTCAATATGGCATGAAAAATATGTAAAACAAGCATAAAGAAAGTTGGAATACCTACATGAAGGCAAATTAGAAAGCTTTTAGGGAAAAGATCCATTTTAATATCACTGAAAAAAATGCTATAAAAGAAGCTTTTTATGTGTTA